ACCTGCAAATAATACTTATCTTTAAAAAATATCAAAAACTGAATGTGTCAAAATGCTAAAAATTTAACATTTATGTACATTTATTTGTGATTTTGTTCAAATTTGTCATTCTTTTTTTTTGTGGTCTGTCTTATTTGACATTGATCCATATGTCATTCGCCATGCAGTGTTTGTCTTCCTGAGATTATCTTTCAGTCCTTTGTCAGGTGCCAGCTTGCCGGTCAATCTGTTTTGCTCACTCCCACCTTTCCTTTTAGTTAGAGGCAGTAGAATCAATAATGCATGGCTGTGTAATACCCTGACTGAGCAGATATCTCAGCAGGTAGCTGTGATGATTGTTGTTTGGGGACCAGCAGGTATTATTCAACACTGTGTTTGGTTCTGTCCTATAATGAAAGTCCCAGCCAGCGCTTTGCAGCGTGCTCACCGACAGCTGTGTCACAAAGACTGCCATGTAGCCATGAAATTAGATCATTATTTAAAGGGGTCATATGATGCGATTTCAATTTTTCCTTTCTGTTTGGAGTGTTACAAGCTCTTGGTGCATAAAGAAGATCTGTAAAGTTGCAAGGTCAATCTGTTTTGCTCACTCCCACCTTTCCTTTTAGTTAGAGGCAGTAGAATCAATAATGCATGGCTGTGTAATACCCTGACTGAGCAGATATCTCAGCAGGTAGCTGTGATGATTGTTGTTTGGGGACCAGCAGGTATTATTCAACACTGTGTTTGGTTCTGTCCTATAATGAAAGTCCCAGTTAAGAGTCAACCACGCCTACCTAAAACGGCTCGTTCTAACACGCCCCCACATGTCTAACTACTTTGTTTTGCTTTCCAAAAGAGGACACGACTAGAAATCAGTGGTTAAGTTATATTTACAACACTTTTCCAGAACAGTTCAACCCAAATATTCAGATGAGTGCAGCGCATTTTATGGAGGACTGTTTCCTGATCCTGAGGGAGTAGACTACAATGCCGGCTGTTTTGACTCACAGACTGTAAGTACGTTTTCATATTTAAAGGCTTCATATTTTGCCACTGATGATTCAAACGCGAGTTTTGAGCAGTGTAGAGTAGCACTTGTTGTTTGTCATTTCTCCAATCACAAATGCAGACATGGTTTTATGTTTATGTGGCACGATGCAACGCAACGCGTAAAAAGACAGTATAAGTCATTATAATCCGTAATTATTTCCCCACTGGATGCAACAAATGCCTCGTTTATAATAGGTTTTAATGTTTTTGTCTCGTCGCTCCGGCCGGACACGGCATCACAGTATGGTGAGGGGCGTAACGTTTCCGTCTCACGCTTGAGGTATTCGGCCAATCACAACGCACTGGATAGCTGGCTAATCGTAAATTGTAAAAATCGTGTTTCAGAAAGGCGGGGCATAGAGGAGAAACAATAATGTACAGTATGTGGAAAAGAATGTGGTTTTTTTTACCTTAAACCGCATAAATACATTTCATTACACCAAATACACCAAATAATGTTCTTTTTAGCAACATCATATGACCCCTTTAATGCTTGTTCAGCAAATGCACACTCAATGAGGCAGGGGTCACTGCTGTCTGATTACTCTGAGATCGTTTAATATTTTGTGTTGCTTTAATGTTTATGACAGGCTCAACTAATGATACCCAATCAAATAGGCCATTTGAATCAAGGTTAATTGTCCTTGTTTGTTGATTTAGAGGAAAAAAAGAAGTGCTCTTTCTTCAAAAACATTTACTGAAGTAGTTAGAATTACAGTGAGGCAAGAGTTGCTTTTTGTTGCACCTGCAGAAGTAAAACCTCTGCTTCCCCTTTTGTGTACAATGTACTTATCCTGTTATATAATAGATGTATAATTTAAGTTAATAAGTTATTGTGTGTGTGTGTGTGTGTGTGTGTGTGTGTAGTACAGTATTTATTAGAATGTATTATACTTTTTATATTATAAAAGTATTATATTTCAAGTAAAATATATATTTAAAATATAAATTTGCAGTTTAATTTTATAATGTTAACTTTATTTTAACTTTATTTAAAAAAATATATACATATATAACATTTATATATATATATATATATATATATATATATACAGTATATATATACAAAAAGTGTTCAGTCTGCCTTTGGAGGTGGATATGGAGCAAAAGAGATTTTTTAAGTTTTGTGTTTTTCCCAATTATTTTTAACTTTGTGTGTATGTTTTTTCCACTCAAGCTATTTTAAAAGATCTTCCCATAGATGTAGAACAGCAGGATGGCCAGAGAATTGGTAGCACAGTGTTTCTCAGACTTAGGAAACATTTTATGAGCCCCTGAGACAAATGCAGAACATCTGACTTGAGTTTCGTTGTGAGTGTGGTTGGATTATACTCTTCCTGCTCTTGGTGACAGTGATGGCGTTTACTGCTCTTCTCAAATCTTTACTTAAAGAGCAGTGAATTTCATTAATATTTCAGCTGATTCTGAGTTAATCAGTTGTGGTGCTTGTTCTAGCTTGTAATGCATTTAGCACAAACTGTTCAGGTTATACTCTGATATTTAAGTTTTACTTTTCTAGCAGAGTCTTGCTTAATATGCTCCCATTAAATATATGCTTCAGTTTCTTTCCCTAACCCACACAGCCCTGTTGGCCTCATGCCCTTAACCTAACCAATCAAAGTCTGAAGTTTTGACAGCTAAGAGGGTTTGGTTTGTAGACATGAATGAACACATATTCAGCCACAAGAACATCAGAATCACTCCAACACTGTGATCTTGAGTGTGGTTGGATTATACTCTTCCTGCTCTTGGTGACAGTGATGGCGTTTACTGCTCTTCTCAAATCTTTACTTAAAGAGCAGTGAATTTCATTAATATTTCAGCTGATTCTGAGTTAATCAGTTGTGGTGCTTGTTCTAGCTTGTAATGCATTTAGCACAAACTGTTCAGGTTATACTCTGATATTTAAGTTTTACTTTTCTAGCAGAGTCTTGCTTAATATGCTCCCATTAAATATATGCTTCAGTTTCTTTCCCTAACCCACACAGCCCTGTTGGCCTCATGCCCTTAACCTAACCAATCAAAGTCTCAAGTTTTGACAGCTAAGAGGGTTTGGTTTGTATATAGACATGAATGAACACATATTCAGCCACAAGAACATCAGAATCACTCCAACACTGTGATCGAGAAACTTGCTTGAAATTTGTAAAAATGCCAAAAATGCTTGTGTGCACCACGTTTACATAAATGCTGGTTATCATGCTGTTTTCCATCATTTGGTTATCATTTGATGAATTACTGATACTTTACAGCTGTAAAACTGTGATATTATCCTATGACTTTTGACTAGTATTTATAAAGCAGAATAAACCATGAATATAAGTTTTATTTTATATTTAATATTAATATTTATTTTATTTTATCCACTAGGCACATAGACATTTTTTAGGGATGCCCATACACAAATCTGCATATGCATTCCTCTGTTTCCTTTGTGTCTGTATTTATCTAAAAAAAAATGAAACATTGAGCTCATAATTGCATTATTAGGCCCATGTAGGCTCATTGACCATGCTCTGTCTGTGCTTGTTTGTAGACGCTTTGCTTTTTGCTAAAATTACAGGGCTCTCTTTGAAAGCTGAGGCATTACGATGTGGCACTGACTCATTTCCTATGATCATAAATTATACGGACAGCAGAAAATTACATGTGTCAGTGCAGTGGTATCGACACATGTTGGCATGCCAGAAAGAAGGCCCGGGTAGTTATTATCCCAGACGAGGGCTGCCTTATGACATAGTCATGCAAAAATCATCACAATGAGTCATATGAAGTGGGAAAAGCCCAGTCCTATAGTCCTGGGATGTACTGGAGTGAACTTTGTTGTGTTTGACTTGACCAAGACACAGATGCTGTGGAAATCCCACTTCTGTGTGATGTCAGAGTGAAAGTGTGCTCTCAGCGCAAACCCCGCTGTTCTCCTCTCTTCTCTGGGCTGGAACAGGTAGAGCATATGGAGGCAAAAGTCATCAGATTTCTTTACAGCAGGAAATGCAAAGGTACTGTTGATTCTTGGACATTCTCAGATTTGTTTCTCATCACTCGTGACACTGGTTTGACAGATAACTCGAGACTTGCCATCAATACATCAACTGAAATGTGATGCTGCAGCTGTAAACGATGAAATAGGTGCTAGTTTATAGTTTTTAATGTTTGGATGAAGGACTTTGCATTGCTTTGAATAATTTAACTGCTATACAACTGCTAAATTAGATGGCTCTGCAGTATCGTATCATGTTTTTATTTATTTATTTAGTTTATTTCAGTATGCAGCACATGTAGGTCCATCCATAATTCCAGGCTTCCCAAGAGCTCACGTTAAAATCGTAATTCAATATTTCAATTGGCTGTCGAGATTGAGTGGAGTAAATTAATTTGGAGCCATGCTTGAGTGCTCGGCGGATGTTGGACAGGGAGAAAGAGAGACAGAGAGAGATGCAACGGAAATAAAAAGTGATAAGAATGGATAAACTCTCTGAAGATGTGTGTGCGTGCGCGTGATGGACCTCTGCAAAAAGATCTCCTGATATTCATTGTTCTTCTGGCTATTGAAAAATGTTAATGCACCACTTTACTTAATGATAATCATAAAATCTGTTCTTTGAAACATTGTTTTTTTTTGCATAGAAGGTTGAAATGTCTCTTCACCAGCTATTTTTGACTTTGTTTTGAGGAAGTAGACTGGAGCCGCATAGACTAGATTGTGAAATGTGGATGAATTTTTTTCCCCCCTGAATTAGAGGATGATCATGTTTTAGTGAGAAGTCCTAGATTAAATATGTGGAATTCTTTGTGTTTAATTAAGTTTTAATTGAGTCGAATAGTAATGGTAAAAAGCACTTTTTAAAATTTGTTGCATTTGCAAACAATGTTCAAAATGAGCTTTCGTCCATATGGGTGAGTTTACCAGGTATACATATTTCTTGATTGTGCATTTTATGAAGAAATCCATATTTTCCTCTTACAAAAAATAAATTAGATGCTTTTAGTTGTCAAATTACAAGAACATTTTTTTATGATTTTGTTCAGGGATTGTTGAGTGTGATTTTGGTGGTTTAAGGTGTACCTTTAAATTGAACAAAAGTGACCGTACAGGCTTTACATTGTTACATAAATTCTGTTTCAAATAAATGCTGTTCTTTTGAGCTTCATATTCATCAAAGAATACTGAAAAAATGTAATGGTTACCACAATTTTTTTTAAACATTCGTAATTATAATGATTACTGAAGGATCATGTGACACTGAAGACACTGCTGAAAATTCTATTGTGCCATCACAGAAATAAATGCATTTAAAAATGTATTACAGTGGAAAAGTAATTTTGATTTTAATAATTAACAGTAATTACTGTATTTACCATATTTTCTATTAAATACATGCAGCCGTTAGAGACGTCAAAAACACTCAAAAAATCATACCAACCCCAAACTTTTAAATGTTAGTGTATAGATAGATGATGGCATTTAGTGTGCGTTTTTCAGTAATTCTCCACATTTTCCAGGTGGTTCTGAACACTTTTAGAATGCATAACCAGAGTGGGAAGTTCTGTAATAACTCTGTTTCTTCTTCTCCTCTGATTGGCAGAGATCCGAGCCCAGTTGGTGGAGCAGCTTAAGTGTTTGGACCAGCAATGCGAGCTCCGCGTGCAGCTCCTGCAAGACCTGCAGGACTTCTTCCGCAAGAAGGCAGAGATCGAGATGGACTACTCCCGCAACCTAGAGAAACTTGCCGAGAGGTTCCTGGCCAAGACTCGCTACACAAAGGACACTCAATTCAAGTAAGAGAACATTTGGCCGTGTTTCCAGCTGATACATCATAGTCCTGTGATCCGTGCCATTACCTGGGCACAGTTTGAAATCAATACGTTTATTTTTTCTCTTCTCACACTCTTCTGATTACATAAATGCTGTTTTGCAGTGAAAGTTGAGACAGTTGAGTAAACTCTCACCAAGGTCATGTGATATCCAGTCAACACTTCCCTTTAGGCTTATTCAAGATAATTTCATTAAAATCTTTGGTAACAACTCATAACCATCATATTTTAGCGTGTAGGCTTAAACAGAGTCTCCTTATTTGTCAGAATGATGATGAATCAGCTTTTGACAATGTAAAAACTTTATATTATATAAATTATATAAGAGGCTTGTCTCATATCTCTGATGAGATAGCAGCAGGGATTTGGATCGTGGAATAAAGTCAAACATTTTCTTCGAAGTCCTTGGTTCTGCTCCAGTGACCCATATTTGATCCTGATTCTGTAGCGGTTAGAGTTATTATGCCGTATTATGAAGAAACAGCTGGTGTACCGTTAAGAAAAGCAAGTAAAGTGGAGCATTTATGTTCTTACTCAAGCTATAAATGTTTATTTTATCCTGTCTGATTGACTGCATTAGTTTATAATGCTAATTTTATTGTTTAGCGTGAAACAAAACAAGCTTTTGAATGCCCTAATGTCATTTTTATACATAGGGCTAGACTTTGAACAGGCTTTTTAAAGCTTAGTTGCATAGAAAGGCAAGTGGCAATTATGTTGAAGACCTGGCATTAAATTAATGCAGGTTTCCCGATACTTACTAGCGAGCTTTGAGAATGATGCAGTCTCACTGCAGTCATTATGACAGGATATGCTGTCAAAGAGCCTATTAATCAGTGTTATATACTGTCTAAACGGATCTCTGTGGTTAGATGCTTGGATCCTGTTGGATTCAGTTTGATCTTGTGAGGATGTGGTAACCACATCCTCAAAGAATAACAAAGAAAAGCTTAAAGACCAACTAAAAGTTAAAGTTTGAAGTGTACTTCCTTGCCCTGGCTTATGTGTGAATTATGACAGAGTCTGTATGTCTTGTTAATTGAAGCAGTATTTGATGAGAACCTTTATGACGGTAACAATAATGTCTTCCCGACCACTATAAAGCAAAAATTTTGCTTGCGTTAACATTTATAAAGGTGCTTTTGTAACTCCCAACGGCCTGTATTTGCAGTGACACATTGTCATCCTTTTATGCTTGCTGTGTAAATAGGTTGGACTGGATTTGAGTTGTTTTCCAGGGTCTAGTATGCGTACCTTGACAGGTTTCTTTCTGGCAGTTTTGCCCCAGGCACTGTTTTGACATAGGGGATATCCAGTGCTTGAACTTTTCCTTTATTTCATTGTTTCTTTCATTTTCCACCTTGTCATGTGCTTCTCTTTGCTCCTTCCCTTTTTCACTCTCTGTCTTTTCACGTTATTTTGCTCTTTGTATTTGCACTTGACTCTTCGGGTTCCTAATATAATGGTTTGAGTGCTAGAGGCTGGGTCTAGGAAAGTCAACATATGGCTCTCTGACAGCTTCTAGAAATAATCAATAGATAGCACATGTTTTTTTGAGAGCAGTTTTGTGTGACAGCTCTGTGCTCTATCAGACCATGGTGCACATGAGACCCCTGTGTACCTTAGACCCTGGGGGAGGTTCAGTTTCAAATGGAGACCTATGCTCTAGTGCAGGGGTCACCAGACTCGGTCCTGGAGGGCCTGTGTCCTGCAGAGTTTAGCTCCAACCCTAATTAAACACACCTGAACCAGCTAATCAAGGTCTTACTAGGTATACTTGAAACTTGCAGGCAGGTGTGTTGAGGCAAGTTGGAGCTAAACTCTGCAGGACACCGGCCCTCCAGGATCAAGTTTGGTGACCCCTGCTCTAGTGTAATAATAATTTTTGGTCAACAGCAATATATGTCATAATGTAGACATTTTATAGAATAATGATTAAGAAATTACTGAAAAAAGCTAAATAAGATATTAATTGTAATAATAGTGATGAAAATAAACTATTAAATTATAATATTTTTAGTTGAACATTTTAAACACATTTGTCAAAAATTATGAAAAATGACTCAATGACAAATTATTGAACTAATGAAGTAAAAATAAAATGTATTAATATTAATCAATAATAATAATAATAATAATAAAACAGAGATTATATTTGTTATTTTTATTTGAACAATTTTGTAAATAAAAAACGAATTTTATGTAAAAAAATAAAAAAGGTTCCTGAAAAATATAGAAATAATGAAATAATAAGCAAACAGTAATAATAAATTATGATCAATAACAATAATTGTAATCAATAATAATAATAATAATAATAATAATACATTATTATTGGATAATACAAATTTATAAATTGTAATTTTTATTTTTATTTGAACTGTAATCTATCAAAAATAAAGGTCATTGACATATAAGAATTTTCGACAGGCAAATTTTAAAATACAAAAAATAATAGTATATTTTGTAGTTGTTCAAACATTAAGAATGTTGTGTACACATAAATTCATATAAAAATTTTAAATCAAGTGATTTTAGTGTTTTTTCATCTAGGTGAATCAGCCGTAGCCATAAAAAATGTCATGTGGTGCGACCATGATTTATATTAAAATTAAATCAATTCCTTGACATGCTTAACATATTTTTTAGAGGTTCTCAGTAATTAAAGTGTTTAGGAAAAAAAGTGTTTGTGTTTCTTTTAAGTTTTTCTAAATAATTATCTCATATTTTTGTTCTACAGTTTCAGAGTTGTTTAATTTGTTCAGAGACTTTTCAGAGACTTATTTTTTCTGTTAATTGCATAAAACTGATAAAAACATTTAAAAAATACCATTCACTTAAGTATACTGTAGCCGTGATTCATATTTCAGCCACATAAATTAGATGATGTATTTCTAATTTAATACAATTATTGCTATTAGTGGTCCCTCCAAATGACAGAAAGACCTTATATCAATAAAAATCTATTTAAAGAAAGTGTGAAAAGTGCAGCACATGGCATTAACTGTAGTCATTTTTTTAGACCCATTTATTTCTAAACTTTGCCCAATCTTGACTGCTCAATTGACCCTTCGCTGGGAGTTGATTAACAGGCAATCTGAGCAATCATAATGCCAAATCTGCCATTTTTGTCTGACAAACAAACCAGACAGCAGAGTAGATTAACGTCGATGGACTTGAACTTGAAAAATAGTGTGTATTGACATCTTTTCACAGTTGAAACAAGATACCTTCTTTTTAAGATTTTTATCTTAAGCATCAAGCATTCTCCATCATGTATTTTGCTCTCTTTTGCTTTCATTTCCTCTCTGAGTTTCTTAATTTTAACATAATTTCTTGTGCTTATCTCTCGATTTTCTCATAGCTCTTACTTTTTCTTCCACATTAGGCCCGCATTACACCATCTCTTTCTCTGAGCACCCCCTCTCTACACCAAATCTGCAGTAACCCCTGCTAATGTCCTCCTAGGCAAGTTTCATTTCCTCTCCCGTCTGACTAGCTTGACTGACGTCTTCCCAGCATCATGTCTGAACAGAAACCAAAGTCTTGTAAAACACTTCTCACCAGAGTGAAGAATTCCCCTCAATGCCTTCTCATGTACCTTCCAAGCGATATTGAATGAATCAGTCACTCTTCACAGTTTACAGCAGACTCTGATGTCAGTATATTGCTAAGCTAATGACCCTATGCATGTATTGAAAGAAATACAGTAAAAATTGTGAAATATTATTACAATCTAACATAAATGTTTTCTATTTTAATGTATTTTAAAATGCAATTTATTCCTGTGATGGCAAAGCTGAATTTCCAGCAGCCATTACTCCAGTCAGAAATAATTAATTTGCTGATTTAGTGCTCAAGAAACATTTCTTAGTATTATCAGTATTGATAAATGATACATTCTTTAAAGAATAAAAAAGTGTAGAAATAGAAATCTTTTGTAACATTATCAACGTCTTTACTGTCACTTTTGATTAATTTAATGCATCCTTGCTGAGTAATAATTTCTCCTCATGGTCCATGTGGTGTACATTCAGAGCTTCTCGTTTTGCTTTGTAAAGTAATATCATTGATCAATTCCCATCATTTTACTCCAACAAAATGTCAAGAATTTCTTCATATTCTTCATCTCTTAAAATTCTTCACATGCCACCATGTCACATCCCTGGTGTATGCCACCTAGGAATTAGCCCTTCTTGGCTTCGCAGAGCGTTACTTTGGTGAAAGGCCAGCTCTGTCTGCGGTGACCTCGCTGTTAATTGGGCAATTCCTCCACTCATGTGACCTCAGCTTTTTCATGGCCTTCCAGAAATGACCCGGAGTTCCCTTGTCTGAATGCCCATTTAAGAACCCTTTCCGTCAGCCAAGGGGCCATGCTAATCTCATCAACGTCCCTTTGTTCATTTCTCGAGAGGAATTGAGTTTCTCCAAGGACTCCATCTTATGTGGTTAAGCATGTGTTTTGCTTCTTTGCATATGAAAATTATGCTAATTTGTGTGTTTGGGAGGATGTTTCTCAGGGCTGTCAATGCCTCAGGTTGGTTTTAATCATTCAATAATCGTTAGACCGTTGGTTTCACTTATTGTATTATTTTTTTTACACAATTTGTTTTTACACAATTTAAATATTTGTTTTGTTAGTATATTCTTGTCTTCTCATGTTCCTTGTGTTATAATATGTCCTGCACCATGTGTCAATTAATGGAGGTGTTCCCACCATTTTTTGGCACACATGTCTGTGGTTTACCATCAGGAACTTGCCTTCTTTGAACCCTTATTGTGCAAGACCTTTATGTTTTGATTGACTTTTTGCTACATGCTCGAACCAGTTTCATTCTTCCCTGTTTCCCAAGTGTTGTGCGATCATTGGCAGAGCAAACATCAAGATCTCATTCCACTCTTTACCTCAGCCGTAGCCTCCAAAACATCCAAATACAAGTATTTCTGCTACACTTCTTAACTGTTGTTCTTTGGATGGGGGGAAAAGGGTGTCTGGGAAAGCTGGTGGAGAGAAACATTATTGGTGAGAGTGGTGTGCATGCCTAAGTGTTTTGAACACACTAGACTTATTTACTTATAATTGTAATTGAATTGTGACTGCTGCCTGTGTGCCGCTTGTTTTTATTCAGTAGGTCTGTTCTAAAGTGCTCCCTACGTATTCAACTTTTTTTATAAGGTATCGTTCTAACTCAAATAAAAACTTTGTAGTTACTGATACTTGGGCAACAACTCTATTAATGGTCACAATGGTATTCCAATAGAGTCTGAAGTTAGCATGTTGCTAAGCTAAGGACTTAAAGGGTTTGTTCACCCAAAAATGAAAATTGTGTAATTAATTACTCACCCTCATGTTGTTCCAAACCCATAAGACCTTCATTCATCTTCGGAACACTAATTAAGATATTTTTTATTAAATCCGAGCGCTTTCTGACCCTGTATAGACAGCAATGCAACATCCCACCATCTTATGTGTCAGTCTCCACCATGCATTCACAAGAGTACCACAGTGAAGGTTGACACGAAAGAGACGAAATTTTCTTTTTGCACTAAAAGCATTCTTGTTGCTTCATAAAATTACAGTTGAACCACTGATGTTACATGGACTAGTTTAACGATGTCCTTACTACCTTTCTGGGACTTGAACATGGTAGTTGCTGTGTTGCTGTCTATGGAGAGTCAGAAAGCTCTCACATTTCATCAAAAATATCTTAATTTGTGTTCCGAAGATGAACGGAAGTCTTACTGGGGTGGAACAACATGAGGTTGAGTAATTAATGACAGAATTAAAATTTTTGGGTGAACTATCCCTTTAACACAACAGTCAGCATTTGTTTTGTGTCACTCAACAAGTACAGAACATTTTAAATGTTGAATAAAGAATAAGGAATATATACAATATTAGAACACTTTAATTTGCAAAAATTAGTAATGCTTAAGGATTCCATTAAGCTTACGATATGAATCTCTGTTGCTTTCCTTTAGCATCTGTTGAAATACCTTGATGTTTGATGACGACAGTATATTTGGTCTTTTTATTCTGATCCCATCATCAAAAGAGTTACATGGGGACCAATGACGTGAGATGTGTCCATTCCTTTCCATAACACTGACAGATGTTGAGCAGGAGAACAGGCTGTGATGTACCTCCACTGAGCCCCCCGCTGAGCTCTGAATGCTGGCTGATTTCCCCTCGCTTTGAACTCGTTGGGAGGAGTGTCTGTCTGAAGTGTTGTCGGCAGGCGAAGCCAGAGGGAATGTCCTGTACAGAGAGACAGGATCCCCGTCGTGTGATATGATTAATCCAACGTGCTCTTCAGCAGGGAGGACTGGTGTCAGACAAGTGTTAATACACATCCGTACATCACTTGAGGTTTATTAGACTCAGACTACTTCAGGACATCAGCGGTTTCAGCCCATGTTTTTTTTATGTTATTTTTTTAAATATGCTAAAATGGGTTCAGATGTTGCCGATATCCTGCTATGATATGTGCAGCATAAAGTGGTTCTGATTTTTTTTTTGCAAAGGTAGCTAGGTATACTACCCTGATTTTGGACGTGTGATTTGGAAATAACATATTTTTGGTCATGTAATTAAATAGCATGGTTTTTCGGCATGCACATTGAAAATTATTTGGATATGTTCACTACAGTCCAAAAGTGAAAGTCTTTTATGCTCACCAAGGCAACATTTATTTGATAAAAATATAGTAAAAACTGTGAAAAATTATTGCAAGTTAAAATATAAGGGTTTTATTTTTAAATATTTTACAATCTAATTTATTCCTGTGATGCAAAGCTGAATTTTCTGCAGCCATTCAGTGTCACATGATCCTTCAGTAATCAAGTACTCAAAAACATTTCTTATTATTTTTAGTATTGAAAACAGTGCTGCTTTAATAAAAATAATTTAAAATTAGAAATGTTTTGTAACATTTTAAAGGTCTTTACCGTCTCTTTTGATGAGTTTAATACGTCCCTGCTTAATAAAATAATTTGTTTCTTACCAACTTTAGTGTATGTCATTATAGCTGTTAAATCCACCCTGTGGAAGTGTTTTTTTATGAGTTGCAGTGTTTCTGAAATGAGGGAGGAAATGGATTTTACTTCAACATTTTTGCTTTTGTAGGTCACAAGTTGTTTAGGCCTTAAATGTACACATTTGCATACCACTGATGGATAAGGTTGCTGGTTGTTTGGGTAGATGTGATGAACGTTTTAGTTCTCACCGATACTTTGCTCTCCAGTCAACAGCAGGACCAAGGTCATGTGTTAGCTGTTCCTCTGTAAACAGACAGTCTGTAAAACATTAACAGACAGTTGGATGCTTTCTGTGGGTTCTTTAGATCCAGTCCTTCCTGATTCTACCCTCTCTGTGGACATTTCAGACCGTCTGGTCTGAAGAAACATCAGGTTCTGCCCCACCCGTTCAGAGGCATTTTAGCAGCAGGGAATGGGTCCCACCTCATGGGCTTCTACGGGACCCTCAGCATCAGCTGTCTCCTCTGGCATGCACAGGCCGCTGAGTCCATCCCTCCAGCATGTGCCCAGAGTAACGCAGGGCTTAACAGAATTCCTCTTTGGCGTGACATCCATTGCTCTGTAATCCATGAGTGAACTTCACATATAGGGCAACAGGTTTATCAGGACAGATCTGTATGCATGTGTACCCTTCTTAACCATACCAGGACTGTATGAGTTTAGAGTAACCTTTAACATCCTGGGAACATTCCCTATGAGAGCAGGAGTCCAGAGGGTTTTTTGAGCTGATTTATCTGTAATGATGATGTCTGTGTCTCAAAGGTTGTTCACAGTGATTTGTAGCGGCAAAGTGATCTGAAGTCATTAGTTTTCAAAAACGGTTGGCTGTTTGAATGACTGATGGCGATGAGACTTTTTGCATATTAATACTGTATATAGTCACTATAATATATAGTCATCTTCAGGAAACTTAATGGCCCAAAATTGCAAAATAAATATCAAAATACTGTACATTTTATAGCAAGCAAGATAGTTTCAGATGTATTATTGATATATTACTGAATACTGTGTATGTGTGTGTGTGTGTGTGTGTGTGTGTATATATATATATATATATATATATATATATATAATGTGATATAACGATTCATTTGCATCGTCAAAAATGTTTATGTCCTCGTTTTCGATATAAAAATTGTGTGGGAAAACACGCCATTATTATTTTAAAAATTCATTTAGAATTTACTCCTTATATAAATTTTTTTAATCTATTTGGCTTGAAATGATTTGGCTGATCATTTGGTTATGTTCAGATGATTCCTCTGATTCCTTTTGATTATGTATTGTGAGTTGTTTTGCAGCTATTTTGCAACTACTGCAAATGTATTTTTGTAGTATGTATTTTTTTAAATAGCTTTTTCTGATTGATTCTTCTGCTCTCTTGTATTATAAATGATAATAAATGTGTTTTTTCTTTACTCTTCCCTGCAGGAAAGAGCAAAATGTCCTGTCTCCAGTCAACTGCTGGAACCTTCTCTTGGCTCAGGTGAAGAGAGAGAGTCGAGACCACGCCACTCTCAGCGATCTCTACCTCAACAACATCATCCCACGCTTCGCACAGGTCAGCGAGGACTCAGGACGCCTCTTCAAAAAGGTGACATTCGTCTTTGCATACCAGTCGATTTCTCTGTTAAAGCCTCTGTAGTGGTCATTGAGCTTGGGACCGCATTTTTTATTTGCTTCTCAGTTCAATTGATAATCTCTCTCTCCTCACTGATGTACCAGTTTTGACCTAATTTGACTATTTTGATTTGATTATTATTGTAATTATTTAATGTTATGTCTAATATATGATCAAATTTATTTTAATTAGGGATAGTAAAATTAATTTGTTAACAGTTTGGTTCATTACATATCTTCTGTGGTTTCTTATGCATGTTTATGCTCATTAAAACTGATAGTGAGATGATTAGAATCGGAAGAGCTGATAGATGCAAGAGAGCATCATGCCTTTGGTGTTTCATCCTCTTGGCTTGTCTAGACCAGGGGTCTCCAACCTTTTTTTTTACACCACGGACCGGTTACATTTGAAAAATTGTCTCTCAGACCGGCTGGACGGGGGTATATGTGTGTGTATATATATATATATATATAGCCTAATATTCAACGCATTATATTGTGTTTTTTTTTAGCCACAGATCTGACTATTTTTTCAGATAAGCAAGAAAACAAATGTTTAAAGCACAGAGAATGACAATGCCGTGAAGGGTTTTTGATGTAAGGGTTTTTGGCTAATTTTATGTGTATGTGTATACGCAACTCGGTATCTCCGCGCTGTCTGAAACACGTCTCTTGTGCGCGCTTTGATTGTGTGCGAGAACAGCATGTGAGTAACGAATTGAGCTTTCTTTCGTTTCTTATTGTGGTTTCAAATTGCTTGTACGGGTAAATTGGCAAATGAATCTGTGAATCATGTGAGTGCCGAACGGTAGGGTCTCATCCGTACGTATTACGGATCAACTGCGATCCGTTTAACTCCTAATATGTGACAGATCAGAGCAATCTTTCATTTACTTAGTTAACATGAAATTGTCAAATTGCTACTCCATATCAATCGCATGCAAAGAAAATACTGAATAATTTGAACAGTCATTAACATAAATAAATAACAGAGTATCATATCTATACACATTTTTCCCAGAACGTTCTTGCGACCCGGTAGCAATTCTTCCACGGCCCGGTAGTGGGTCGCGACCCGGTGGTTGGGGACCTCTGGTCTAGACTGGTTAGACAGGCAGGAATTCAGGTCGCTCACTATCTAGACCCAGAGCTGTGAAAGAGATGCTTTCTTATCAACACATTTCCTGTGTCCATTGGTTATCCAGGTGAAACCAGTTAAATCTGGTCTGTTTAAGGTCAAATCCAGCTTTATTTATTCAGAGGATGAAGGAACCTCCAAAAATGATAAATTCTGTAATCATTTACTCACCTTCTTGTTGTTCCAAACCTGTATACATTTCGGTCTTCTGTTGAACATAAAGGAAGGTATTTTGAAGAATGTGGTTGCCCAAGCAGTTGTTGGTCCCCACTGACTTCCGTAGTATGGAAAAATTACTATGGAAGTCAATGGGGACCAGAAACCATTTGGTTGATGATGAGAGAATTTTCATTTTTGGGTGAACTACAATTTAAAAGTCTCCCATCAACCCATCAGTTGAGCAGGGTGTTTTGATACTTTTTGATGTTTATTTGATAAGACCTCTTGTGATATAGTCAGAGATCTCAGCTATAGGGCTGTGCAATTAATCGTATGCGATTGTCATGCGCATCTCGTCGAATGCGATTATGAACGCGATATTGCCTAATTGTCAGTGAATTACAGCTCTGTGTAGTGAATGCCGCTCCATCTGAAAGCAGGTGATGGAGATTTACAATCGTATGCGATTGTCATGCGCATCTCGTCAGTAAAGCCGGTTCCGTGATTGGTAGTAAATCGCCATCACCTGCTTTCAGATGGAGCGGCATTTAATACACAGAGCCGTAGTTCACTGACAAGCTAGGCGATATCGCGTTCATAATCGAATGCGATTATGAACGCGATATTGCCTAATTGTCAGTGAATTACAGCTCTGTGTAGTGAATGCCGCTCCATCTGAAAGCAGGTGATGGAGATTTACTACTAATCACGGGACCGGCTTCACTGACGAGATGCGCATGACAATCACATGTGATTAATTGCACAGGCCTACTCAGCTATGCCTAATTTAAGGTGTATTGAAATTTGGACTCGCCTCAATCTTAAATCGCAATTTTTTTCCCCCTGCATATCTAGCGGCAAGAGTCTCTCAGACCCCAATCAGCACTTCTTTCTCTCCCGCTGTCTCTGTCTGTTCCTCGTTTCCCGTGAGAGAGAGAGAGAGAGAGAGATGAGCCTTCCTATCAACATTATCGTCAACTCTTTCGGTCTCTCTCTTCTATAGTTTAGCTCACCCGGCCCTCCGTGCTGCAGGAATACCAGTCCTTTAATTGAACGCTCCCAGCCGGCCTCTCTCTATAGGCTTCCTAGGAATCGCTGAAGTCTGTGCAATTGATCTTACCTAACGTCCCAGCGCCATACACCTCCCACCTGTCTTAAAAGCGCTACAACATGCTGGAGAAATTCTGCACTCTAAATGCAAATACAGTCAAGGGAGCCGTGTCCGGAGGATGTTTACGACTTTATTGAACCATAAGCGTAGACACACAATAAAGGAAAACACTCTTAAAAGCAGAGAACGAGAAGTTTTGGCAGCGAAATATTTAAGGGTGCTCCGATTGATCGGTTACTGATCACTATCGGCTGATAATCACTTTGGGATGATTTATCGGCAGTCTCTAAAAGGCCGATCTCAAGCTGATGACGCTGCCGTGAGAGGTTTGGCATGACATGCAGCCGGTGTAGTGCCAAAATTTGCACCCTGCCAAATTATACACCCCCTAGTATTGGTAGGTTTAGGAGTAGGTGTGGGGGAGGGGTTAGGATTAGGGGTGGGGTTGGGATTAGGCAATCAGGTAGCGACTTCAACGAGGGGGTGCATAATCTGGCAGGGGTGCAGAATTCGGCACAACACCGGCACCGTCTCAGTCTCTGTCCGCCGCGGGTGAAATAATTATAATGCTGAAGGTGAGGTACTCGCCTTCATATTTCTTCATTAAATAACTTACAAAGTAATTTGAAAACCTTGTGTGAGACGTAATTTCACAAACAGTGTGAATGAATCACCTCGCGCTCTCTCTCTTTCTATCTCAAAATACACAAATGGCTTGGCTTCAAATCACCACACATCGTGTCTGTCTATAAACGAGCTGCACGCTGCACAGTTGACACAGGAATTGTCACTTGCACAATTGAGGCAGTGTCACATCGTCACTAAAGTTTATACAAGTAAAGTTTTTGCATTACTTTTTCATTCTTGCCAGTGTTTAACCATTCAGCGCTCGCGCGCTCTCCTGTAGACCGTGCACTCATGCACACTTGCAGCGCACACACAGTAATAAAGATTTCAATGCAAAAGGAAAGGCAGTAGAGCTGACTATTTCTGCCAATGGTAAGTTTGTGATAACGTAAGAAAAGTAGTTTAAATGTTTTGCCACTTGCTTGAGCAACTTAATATATAAAGCTAGAATTAAATGCAAAAGTAAAAAGCATTGATTGATGTGTTGCTTATATTTATTGTGTTTAAACATGTCTGTGAAAGATTGTGTTACTGTACTGTGTAAAAAAAGAATTGCAATGCTGAAAAAGCATTTTCAGTGACAATGTTTGGATTTGAAATCAAAATAATGGAATGATTATAATGTTGGAATAAATGTTGTGTTTGTGGTAAACAGCCACGGATCAGTAGCGGACTCCTGTGTGAAAGCTGCTTCCCCTCTCACAAGAGTCACCTAAGAGGGGAATTTCCCCCATTTTCAAAAATGAAATTCAGGCCCTGAATAAATGTCTAAAAATCCTGATTGGAGTATCACTATAAATATTTATAAATTATAAAAAGAAGGCTTTTAAAAGATCGGTATTGGTGATCGGTATCGGCAGATACTGCTTTCTGTGATCGGCCTAAAAAAATCATGATCGGAGCACCCCTAGAAATGTTGGATGAATCCTGTTCCCCTTAATCAGTGCATGATGAGAAATGTAGCGCAATTTAATTTGACCAAATTGAACCTAATATAATGTGATATGTAATTAATTAATTTACATTTAAACATATTTTCATGAGCAAGAATAAAAAGATTGTAAAGCAGTTTTCTACCTTATCAAATGTTGCAGTAAATAGTAGAGAGACACAATGTTTTTGGAACAAAGTCTTGATAAAAAAATACAGGAATATTTTTTTATATTATTACAATTAAAAATTACAGTTTTCTATTTGAATGTTATGATGTGTAAATTCAGCTTTACAGTTTAAAAGATTGATTTTTTAAAATTGGGAGTGTTTGATTTTTAATATATTTGGTCAAAAGTATGTGGAATATCTGTCATTTATTATGAAAATAATTATTGGCTTATCTGTATCGGCCAGAATTTTAATATTGGTGTAGACGTGTTTGGAAAACCTCTTTGGAGACTCATTTAGTGCCACTTACACTAGCTATGATGAAAATAAATTGAAAAGATTTCTCTTTACTAGGAACTCCAACCAACAAACATTATTCATGTTATGGACTTATGATTTTTCAAGCATTTTTCCGCTGAAGTAGCTCTGATCACTCCAAGTACAAACACAATGTTTTGTTTTTTTACATTAAAGGGGTCATATGACGCGATTTCAAGTGTGTGTGTGTGTGTGTGTGTGTGCGTGCGTGCAAGCGAGCGAGAGAGAGAGAGAGCTGTCAGTGGAGTCATCACAGTGGAGTCAGCTGTCTTAACCGTGGCTTGTGTACTGCAAACATACCAGCTTCATCACTGTGTCTGTCAATTGACTCTGTTCTTACACAAAATAATGATCTTTAAAAAAGCATCATATGACCCCTTTAAGGCAAAAGATTTTCATCAATTCAACTACATGCTCTTGTTTATTGGAGGAATTAGTAGCAGAGGCGCAAGAACAATCATCGCTGATATCAACAGTCCTTTCACATGTGACTGATGTTGAGTGCCAGTAAACCAATCCCCTCATACACACCCCAAAGTGATGCTTCTTTGACAGATTTGTGCGGAACTAAAACCAATCTCCTGCCAAGCTCACAGACAAACGTGTGATCTTTTTCATTTAACAAGTGCATCTCACCATTACAGCTCATAAATCCATGTCCTCCCGTCCCAGTGCCTCTCCCCTGTTGTCCAATAGATTTATAGAGGCCTTCATGGAATATCAATAGTTTACTCCCATTTTTTGTGGCTCTTTTGTGTTGTCTTTGGAGTGTGTCTCCAAGCAGATGGAGGAAGGCAGCTCTGCCTGCACTCCTGAAGATCTATTTCACCGCGGGAATGTAATGCTGCTTAGAGGGGAAGTGTGTCTGTGAGAGGTGGAGCAAGAAGAAGCGGAAAGAAGTAACTTAGACCTAACACTCCTAATAGAAAGAGCAAGCTGAATAAATCCATCAAATGCTCCTTCTTGAACTGGTCTGAATTAGGGAAACCAGCAGGGCAGACTGGAGACAGACCCCACTACACGTGTCTGCCCCAGCAGGTCCCCCCCGTACACATCCACACATGTTCTCCTGGGAAATGACTGTAACCCATTTCAATACCCCATAAAAAGTAAGCAGATCCTTTAATTAAAGAGTTAAGGATTATGAAAATAAACCTGGCACCATTTTTAGTGACATCTGTGCTTTATATGAAGAAAGGAAAGAATGAATGGAAAAGCTGATGATGATTATCTCAGCCTTTTGGATCAGAGAGGAACCCCATAGGGCCGAAAATGGTGAAAAACGTGATGAACTGAGTTTCCTCTGCACAATCTTTAGCGTTCTTTTTTTATAAGCTCAGCGGTGGCTTGTTCAGTAGTTCATCCAAAAATGAATATTCTGTCATTGTTTACTCACCCTTGTGTCGATCCAAAACTTTCTTCTGTGATACATTTTTGGTGAACTTTTCCTTTAAAAACTGGAAAAGAGCCTGACGCTTCTTTGCACTTTACAAGAGCAAGAAAAGGCCATTGAGAGCCGCCCACATTTATGTTTGCCAAATTCCTCCTTTAAGTGTTTCCTATTAATGATGACATTGCAAAGAGCTTATTAAATTTATTATGCCCATCATGGAGGCTGACACCCTCATGAAAGCCAGTGTAAATGGAGGGAAATGGAGTCCATTAGCTTTCTCTCTCACAGACAGCGAGCGATGGCTTGGTATCATCTCTCCGGTCTTGGCAGTGTGTTTGATTGCAAGCACAAGAATGGCGTCACTCTGTGACATTCCTCTCAAAGGAGCAGAAGTTTGGAATGAGATCCTCCCTTCAATCCCATTCCCAAATTTAGCATCTTGCTGAATACTAACTATTAAGCTTGGTGGTGTCTTCCATTCATTGGCAACAGTCACAGATGACAGTTACAGATCTTTCACCATAGCCTTTCATTGGACTTAGACATAAACTGCTCTTTATAGGGGTCATAAAATTGTAGATGTTCCTTGCTATTTGTAATGTTTGTAATTTTATTTTATGGAATATTAATAAATAAAAATGTCTTATTTATTTAATCTATTTTAGTATTTATATAACACATTATAGACCTATATATAACAACTTTCCCACATTTTACTCTTGCTACTTTTTCTGGTGTTTAAGAATTGAACACAGAATAATTTTTTGATGTGAAATTATGTTAATGTTTTGAATGAGCTAATGTAAGAAACTTCGGAATGAGGTGTTTTTGCATCTACATTTACATGATTGGCCATGTTAGAAGGAAGTTTTCTTTTCTGGAAGTGTTTAGAATGTTTTCATCAAACTTTTTTATTTCAAAAGAAAGAAAACTTAATTTTTACAGTGTATGATAGAGTATGCTATTTACAGTATATGGCTTCTGTTTGCAGTCCACCCAAAGTAATAAATCTGTGCTGTGCGTTTTCTTCCTCTGTAATTTAAACTGATCCGGTACAAGGAATAAGCAATAAGGGCTAATAAATTAGGCTAGATTATGGGATTTTCTTCAGCAGAGAGGCTCTGTTAGAGTTTTAGTCCTTGTAATGGAAAGTCATTGTCCCGTTGCCTCTCTGCCTATACAAACACATTGAGCTAAAAAGGTATTGCATGCCTGACTGTGAGTAAAAAGCATTTGTGTGAATGATTTTGAGCCTGTTTTTTGAGTTGGTTGTTATGTGAATAACTGTGTTCTCCTCTTTCAGCCCACTTCTTGCCACATGTAAGGATCCGTATTTAAAAAAAAGAAGAAACACCATGACACATACGCCAAAATCAGAGTCATGCTGAAAAATATTTATAGTTAATTATGCTCAATTGTTTGTACTGCCATTTATATGGAAGCTTGATTGAAAGCTTGATAAAAAAAGGTAATTGATTACAACCTTTTATCTTATAATTCATACTTTTGTCTTGCAATTCTGAGTTTATACCTCACAACTCAGACCTTTTTTCTTGCAATTCTGATGAAAAAGTCAGAATTTAGAGATATTAACTCAAAAATATTGGAAATTGAGTTTGGTGCAATTAGAAATCTTGCAAAAAAATAAAAGTGTAAGATAAAAAGTAAAAATTACCTTTTTTATTTATTTATTTTTCCTGTGGCAAAAAAGCAGGCTTCCATATATTTCTTTGCAAAATCCAATTCATCACATTTCAATGACATACATCACTGGGCATGATGCATTTTCTCTGTCTAATATACGATTTCATGCACATTTAACATGCACTTTTCTTTACTGCACAGGTGATGAAGACCTATCACATGTACAACATGGACAGCATCAATGCTGAAAGCAAGCTGAAGGAGGCAGAGAAGCAGGAGGAGAAACAGATGAGCCGCAGCGTCCGACATGAGGACAGGCAGACCCCGCGCTCGCCCGACTCTCTCACAAACATCAAGATCGAGGAGAAACATGTGCGCCGCAGTTCTGTCAAGAAGATCGAGAAGATGAAGGAGAAGGTGAGCAGAGGGTTCAAATGAGAAGGGATGGGGTGAGAAAAGAGGAGAAATCAGAGTTTCTTGGACAGTTTAAACAGAGAATGTGGAGGAAAGGTGAACGTGGGCATGAGAAGAATGAACAGATGGAAGGAGATTTCAGGGAAATGGGAAAGAGAGAGAGGCTGAAAGATGCAGAGCACAGGGAGCAATGAGCTGGTGAGAGATACAGAGAATGCCGTCACTGCCAGAGGGTGTTGAGGGTCCTTAACCTGATCCTCGACAGCTTTAATGACCTGTTGACAGTGGTTTAATTTATAACATGCGTCAGATATGGAATCCATTCTTATCATGCCTAAATAATACTATGCTTGTCACACGACCTCTGAAATATTTGATTCTGATTGGTCACGCCATTCTGTATTCATAAAAAATTACAATAAATTAAAACAGGTGACAAAATATAATAAAATAGGTGACCAACAATGGTGTTTCCATATTCATTATAAATAAAAATAAAATACTTTAGATGACCAACAGTGGGTTAATTTTATTTTATTTTATATATAATAAATAAAAAATATAGTCAATTAAATATATTATAAACTATATTTTATATACATTTACATAGAAAAGTAATATAGAGAGAGTGAGAGAAGTCAAGTGGTCAAGTGGTGACCAACAATGGTCTTTTCTTGTCATTTTACATATTTAATTTGTAAGTAGCAATGTAACACAGCATAAAATTCAATCAGCAGGTCATTATCACAAAATAAACTCTTAGGGTGAAACAAGGCTTGATTATACACTCTGAGATTCCAGGCTGCAAAATTCCTGAAATTTCCAATTCGATATGGTAATCCTAAGCACTAAAATGCAGCTTAATTCATCAAGTGAATGGCTCCTCTATGACTGTATATACTGTGTTGTAGAATGTCATTTGATGATGTAATGAGATGACATTGGGGCAGGGGGCAGGCATTAGCATGTCTGGGCCAGATATTGTTGTCAATCCATGTCTTTGTTCTTCTGGAGTCCTCTGGTTACCGTCTCTGTCCAGTACCACCAACTTACGAAATGATTGATGGGATCATCGCTGGGTTGTTCCAGGGCCACCTCTGTTTCCACTAGACCAACAGCAGCTCCTCTATGTGTGTCCCACTAGAGAGTGCCTGTGGTCACCCCAGCAGCATTTACAGTTTGAAATGTAGTACAGTTTGTGGTGGCAGCTCTAACATGAGCGTATTTAGGGAGGGCTAGTAGAAGTTAAACAACATGCCATCCATCATGAGCTCATGTTTAACGTAAGCTTTAAAGGTTTTGTCAAAAAGAAGTCTGTCATTATTTACCTACCCTCATGCTATTCCAAACTTTGTTTTTACACAAAAATTTTAAAACAGATGTTTTTCCCCATACTTCTATGACTTTATGCTTGACTTTAAGATGTTTTGTTGCGTGACAGTAGTAAACACTGACATTTAAAGCCTGCGTTCGTTATGAACTGTGAAAAAAAATATCTGTCCGTTTCTCAACCATTGTCTCATCCTCCTGGTTTTACTTTACTTTTTTCTTAGCGGCAAGCAAAATACACTGAGAACAAGCTGAAAGCCAACAAGGCCAGGAATGAGTACCTTCTGGCTCTGGAGGCCACCAACAACTGTGTCTTCAAATACTACATCAATGATCTGTCTGACCTCATAGATGTAAGTCCACCTTTATCTCATCACTGGCTCTCATCTCAAGAGCCAGTTCAGGAATATTCATGTGTTTCTAGTGTATTGTTATTGAGAAATGTTTACAACAATGTTTTTGTAGCAAAATCACAAATATTCCTTCTTAAAGCTTTTGATATTTGTGACCCTGGACCACAAAACAAGTCAATTTGTTTAAACTGAGATCATCTGAAAGCTTATAAGCTAATAAGCTTTCCATTGATGCATGGTTTGTTAGGATAGGACAATATTTGGCTGAGATACAACAAATTGAAAATCTAGAATCTGAGGGTGCAAAAAAATCAAAATATTGAGAAAATTGCCTTTAAAGTTATCCAAATGAAGTTCTTAGCAATGCGTATTACTAATCAAAAATTACGTTTTGATATATTTACGGTAGGAAATTTACTAAATATCTTCATGTAACATGATCTTTACTTAATATCCTAATGATTTTTGGCATAAACGAAAAATCGCTAATTTTGAACCATACAATGAATTGTTGGCTATTGCTGCAAATATACCCGTGCTACTTAAGATGTTTTGTGGAACAGGGTCACATTTGATGTTATAATGCAGTCAAGCTTAACTTGTTTAAACCAATGTTATTTTAGTGGATTTATATTTTTATTCATAAAATTAGCTCCTATTAGTGCTTTTGTCATTTTTTTCTAGCTTTATATATGTATAAATTGTAATATTTTTAGTTCTTAGTATCTTCAGTATGATTTTACTATCTTTTTCATCGTTTTAGTTTAACAACACTGGTTTGAACTGGTTTGATCTAAGGGTTTTAAAACTTACAATGCCAGGTGTATCAGTATAGATTGCAAGCTCAGGGCAGCTGATAAAATGAAACTAGGACTGTCAGTATGTAAATCATTTGTGATTAATCTTATCATTTCAATTTTGATGAAGTCCTTTTTAACAGTTCTCACAAAACTTTTCTTCTGTAATTCAATAATTAAAAAAAAAAGTTTTGTTGAGCTGTCGTATGATGGTCATCTCATTCATTTTTGCATAAAAATATAATCATTAAGTAATTAAATTCCACCATTAAGAATTTGTTAAACAGCCCATTATCCTTCTTGTCATGTGAGCACTGGTAAACTGGAAAACTATACTGTGCAGCCCTAAAAGGGCGTTTAAGTGTAATGCCCTAAATATGCCCATGTACAGTGTCCCACAATGTAGTAACACCTTCTGACAGTATGCTACCTCATCAGCCTTCTTTCTTCAAGTGTGACCCTGAAGGTAAACTTGTAGCAGCCCCTCGTGTGAGCTCCGCAAGAGGGCCCACTTGTCCCACAAAATCAACATCAGACTCCTTATAAGGCACCCACAAAGTGCTGAAATCTTCTCCCCATATTACCCTTAACTTCGGCACACAGGGGCCCACGCAACATGGCATCCTCTTTCTGAGTGAGGAACTGTGAATGATGGATTTAGTTTGAGTGGGCTTCATTTGAAGCAATCAGAGCATGGAAGTGAAGTTTTAACCACCCATGGGTTAATAGGAAAATGGGTTTCAGGGGGAGTACAGAGGGCAGACTATTTTTATTATTATTTTATCACTAATTATTTTATTTTTAGTACTAATAAAAAGTACTTTAAGTTCCTTTGAATGAAAGTCACTTACAATTTCACAGATGTTGTGCTTTACTCTGGATTTTAATGCCTTTCTCAATTCACAGCTTTTACATTCACAGCTCAAAATACCAAACAAATGCCCCCCTTTTTCCCCCTCTCTCAGTGCTGTGACCTGGGCTACCATGCCAGCCTGAACCGTGCACTGCGTACCTACCTCTCGGCCGAGTTTAACGTGGAGACTTCCAAGCACGGTGGTTTAGAGACCATTGAGAACGCTGCAGAGAACTTGGAGGCCAACGCAGACAAGCAAAGGCTCATGGAGACCTACAACAACGTCTTCTGCCCTCCAATGCGCTTCGACTTCCAGTCTCACATGGGTGATATGGTCAGTCGGTGTGATTATTATTGCTTATGACATGACAGTGGTGAAATGAAGTAATGGAATATGCAGTGATGGTAATTATTTTCATGCCCCAAGCAATATACCAACAGCAGACTCACAGTGTGGGTAAACAATGACACACAGACATTCTTAGGCAACTGAGTGCAGCTTTACTGATGCCAAGTGCTTTTGCTCCAAAATATCAAACATCTTGATGATATCAAGAAATCAGCTTCGCTAAATACCAATCGGTACTGTTACACAACGATCAGCATTGTCTCTCTGAGACTATGTGTCCTGCTGTTACGTGTGACACTTGCAAGACTGTCTCATTGCATGTCCAAACAAATCCAGACACCTCATGAGGAATGAAGCATTGCTCAATCAGATTGTTGCACAGTGACTGACATGCCTGCTAAGAAACCACAGTTGCTTCGGCCTAGGCTTGCCGCGATAGACGGTGCTGACGGTGATACCGGTGTTAAGCCGCAACACCGGTTATGTCACTTGCCCACCGCGGCACTGACCCCCACCGTCGTTTTGATTTTTTATAGTAATAAAAATCATTTAGTTCAGTAAAAGAACAGACATTACAATTAAAAACTGAACGCGGCTGCTCAATGCTTTATTCAATATTTTGGATTTTGAAAAGCTTGTTGACTTTTGCCGTTTATCTAAGGTGATTTTGGAAGTTTTTTTAAACATTCGTTTCTTATTTAATTGGTTCCACATTGTTTGCTAATTTTTACTTTATTTAAACTTTGTGTCATTTATTTTAATTTTTTTACATCAAGGTGTATGCCGTGCCTCCAAGCTTTCTTACTAGTTTTGCTAATAAACGTTCTACGTTTCTTATTTATTTGGTTATTAGGCCTGTCGCAATAATCAATATATCGACTTATCGCGCAATATATGTACATGACCTCAATCATTTTTGGTGACGCAATATATCGCACATTATATTTACTTAAAAATTAATGTCACCATGTTTTGCACATTCCACTTGTGCCTGTGTCTTTTGCAGCTTCTCGTACATAACGTGGTGTAGTCATGAGGTGCTAGTTCAAATTTAAAAAGTGCTTCTACCAAAAAAGTTTCATCTGCAGATATGGTCTTGTTTAGGGATCTGTGTTTTTGTGCATACGGACATCTAACTGCTAAGTAGTAATTGTGTTTTCCAGCAATAGTGTGCACCCTTAATTTACAGAGAAAAAAAGGTCAGGGAAAAATCTGTAGATGGAAAAATCTCCATACAAGTTCTTTGTGCGTTTGTCTTTTTTTTCTACTTGTTACTTTGCACTTTTTGTTAGAACATTTTTATTTACTATTTATTCAAGTTTTTTAAGGTATCTAATATTTTGATACTTAATTTCCATGATCTAAATATTCTTAAAAATGTAAAGTTTGTTGTCATTTGGAAGTGTGTTGGCCTTCTTGCATTATTATGCTGTTACATTATGATTATATATTCAGTGGCTTAAAATGGTCTTTAAAATGACAATAATATCGCTTATCGCAATTATTTCTGGGGCAATATATCGCACAACAAAAAGTTGTTATCGTGACAGGCCTATTGGTTATATATTATACATGTTTACTTAGCCTATTTCCAGTTTTGTATACCTATTTAAACTTTATGTAAGTTATTTGTTATTTTATAGTAGGCATAGCCTGCCCTATAGCATGGTGTATTTTTATTTGTTTTGTTAATAAAAGTTCTATGTTTTATATATACGTTAAAGTGAGTTTGACGTTGTATTTTGTTGTTGTATTCAAGCAATTGACGCCGAACTGCCGCTAATTCAAAAGTTAAAGTAAAATGCGCACGGCACTTTTAAGCTATTTAAAAGCCAAGGAAAGCAAGGAAAAGAGGGGAAATTCAAACGAACTAAAAACGAACAATTGCTTTACGCCAAATTCCCGCTATTTGAAAGTGAAAGTAAAATGCGCACGCCACTTTTACAAGCTATTTAAAAGCGAAGGAAAGCGAGGAAAAGAGGGAACGCCCCCGCCCCCACGGTGATACCGGTATTACCAGTGTTGTCACACGCCGATAAACCGGTGGGAAAATTTCCTCACCGTCACAACCCTACTTCAGCCCTGTATTATTATAGGTTGTCATTTAGACTGTCCAGCTATTATGTTTTATATTATTCTCTATTAATATGGCAAATTGACTGCTAACCTTATAGGTGCTGTAATTTATATATTGAATCATGCAGAAATTGTCAGTATTATCTGACAGATCTTACAGAATTTTGTGTCTTAAAATATCACAACTGGTTCAGGTATTTATTTTATTTTATTGAAGGTGAGATGTGTTCTTTCTTTGCCACTTGTATCAGTGCTTAATGCCACAGCATACAAATCTACAAACAGCCAGTTAATTCAGTTTTTTATTTAATTTTTTAATTTAGTTTATTCTTAATTTTATTTGTTTGTTTGTTTGTTTATTAGTAAAATATTGTTAGTAGTTTTTTGTTTTGTTTTGTTTTGTGTCAGTCCTGTGCCACTATTGTCACCAAACCAAACATAATGATTTTTACAAACAGGTTTTCTAAGCATTGTCATTGGTCAGTCAAACTTATAGAGACACAGTGTGAATATTAAACTGGGATAGAAGGAAGTATTTAGCATTGAAATAATTTGACACTACAGCTCAAACTAAACATTAACATTTTTAATTGTACTACATTTTTTCTTTGAAATCAATCAACAATGTTTTCTGCTGTGCTGAACTTGCTGATGTTTTTGTAATTAGCCAACTTGCATCAGGGGTCCTGGAAGTTTGTATGTGTGTGATGAACAGAGCAGCTGGTTTTCCCCAGTGCACGTGTGCCCTATCGTGTGTTCAGCCCTCAGGGAGAGGGTGGACCACAGTGAGCCAGATGTTCCCCAGCTGTTATGGGCAAAAAAGAGAGAGAGAGAGAGAGAGAGAGAGTGAGCGAGAGGCAGATAGAGGCTTGCTCGAGTCACTCCATTCTTCAGAGCATATGGGGACATCAGCTTTATCACGGCTGGAGATGGACTTGCTTTAGTTCTCCTTCATTCTGTTGTTGAAGTTCTCGAGCACTTTCTTCTGTCTTTCTCCCTCAGGGGGGACATTTGTGTGCCCAGCAGCCCGTGCAGGGAGAGCTGATCCAGAGATGCCAGCAGCTACAGTCCCGCCTGTCCACACTGACAATAGAGAATGAAGAGGTGACATGCACATGGTCCAACAAATATAATGTGCACAACAAATGTGTGCACATTCATTCTTTATGCTTATATTACATCTGTCAAACTTTAAATGTTTTTGTGCACTTTTTTGTGTCAATGCATTGACTGAGTAAAAGCGTTTTTGATTAGGCACTTTTGTCTAAATCGAACCTATGACAAGTATTATGGCTAATTTGATGAAATGTTAAGCTACCAATAAGAGTGTAGCTCTGTTTAACATTACCATTAAACATTTATGTTGAAATCCATCAACAGAAAATGTGGGTGAAAAAAGGTTTAAATATAATTGGTTGGACTAGGGAGGTAGTGTAACAGTGTTAATGGGTTAATGTTAGTGTTTAAATAAAGCATTATACTTTCTCCATGTTCTGTTTATTTTTTATTTAATATATCTTTCACTCAGATGTTTGTGATATTAAAAACAAAAACTTTGCAGAATGACAGTTTCTCTGACAATGGAAAAAAACGAATTTACTTAATTAGTGTTATGACCCATTTTTCAGTAAACATATTTAAAAATCCTTAAAAAATGTTTTCTTCGAAGTGCATTAAATTTGAAGTTGGCCTAATCTTTTTTCTTGCTTTAAAATATTAATCTAACAAAATGCAATGAAGTTATTCTCATGAATAATATAAAAATCAATTAGCCAGTGGTCTGAGAAACAAACTTAATTCAAGACATTAAGAAATCTTAATATCATATGCAATTTTGTTCCTTATCTTCTTTTAAGGATGTTTGGATGCATTTAATGGAAAACAAGACAGAAATGACAACCAAGAAAATGATTTAATGCAGTGCACCAGTCTGTAAATGAAATCTTGATCAAGTGATTACAGCAGAAGAAAGTGCTTCATTTCACTCGTGTACTTTGTACGGAGTAATATTGCAGACATGTAGCAACTATAATGTACATACTCTTTCTCCAGGTAAAGAAGACGATGGAGGCCACTCTACAGACCATCCAGGACATGGTGACCATTGAGGACTTTGATGTGACTGACTGCTTCCACCACAGTAACTCAATGGAGTCTGTCAAGTCCACTGTGTCTGAATCCTTCATGAGCAAACCCAGCCTGGCCAAGAGACGAGCCAACCAGCAGGAGACAGAACAGTTCTACTTCACGGTAAATGAGATGGAGAAGGAGAGAAATCAGTTTAATACAGGGTCACAGGGTTGAAGAAAGGGTGTGGAGGATTGGACAGTGGGAAATCTGTAGCTGGGGGCATGAAAGGACAGAAAGAGAAATGGGAAAGGAAGGGTGATGAAGGGAGAGATAAGAGACTGAGTGTTTGAGATACAGCTTAATGTCCTTTCTACTCTATCAGAGTCTTTTAAGAAGCCTTTGATTGAAAAGACAGCAGTTAGAGGAGACTGCTGCAGTTGACTGCGGTTCATTGATCTGTGCTTGTTTGTAGACAGCTGAAACTGTGTTACATTGTTATTCGACAAATACAATTACAGAGGAGTATGTTCTCCAGACACATTTACAAAATACCCAGAACACAGCAGCAGCAGTATAGCAATGGCCAGGGAGCCACTAATAGCACTTTGTGGCAACTTTGTAAGGGAGACAGGGATCACATGGGGATGTTATTGTCAACTCAGTAAGTATAGGATTAAAAAAAACAAAAACTGTTAAATAAATTCTTGTTTTCTATATCAGTAGTTTTTGTATGATGGTTTCAAACATTTAGTTCAAAACCCCCCGAAATAATATTATTTATTATTCAATTAACTATATATATATATATATGTGTGTGTGTGTGTGTGTGTGTGTGTGTGTGTGTATATATATATATAGTTACATGTAGGGATGCACGATACTGAGCTCCTGTACTCATACTCGTTAAAATGCCCCGATACCAAATGCCGATACCACACAGCATGTGATAAGTGCCATATTCAGACAAAGAAACACCGACAACAGAACAACGGACAGCAGAATGGAGTTATTAGAGATTAATGATGTCTACGAAGTATATAATATAATGTTAAACATTCAGTATTAACGCCTGTGTAGCTGATGTGCGCAAGCTGATAAACAAAGCACGCTGAGTGGATTGAGCGTGCGGCGGCGCAGATGCGCGAGCTTGTCGAGTGAATATACCTTTCTCACAGACATCACTGGAAAGTTTGTAGTTCGGTCGGATATGTCAAAAACAAGTAAGTAAAACAATGCACAGGTTACTTAACAGTAGGGAGGGAGAGAAAGAGAGAGCACTTCTGTTGTGTGATCTTTGATGTTCACTCACTTAGCACACGCATCATTTGGATTAAAACTAAATCGTAAAAATAAGACCATTTATAGGGGCATTCACTATAAACATCATTTATTTTCAACCTTAGGCATACACGACTTTCTGGCCAAAGTGAATCTAGCAGCCTGTGTGAAATGCGCTAGGGTGTACTATTCTACATCAGTACAAATACGTGCACGTGTTGCACGTGTTTTGCTTGCTTGAGTGTTTCTGCATTATATGAGTGGCTTTGGAATATAAATCGCAGCACGTTTCAGATGAAAAAACGTGACTTATATTTCAGAAAATATCACAGTTAGGAGATTTATAACGAGTAGTTCCCTGCATTATTACAGCAAAGCGCATGATTACAGTACTAAGCCGCTGCAATGGAGCAGCTCTAATGCTATTAAATTAAAGATGATGTACCATAGAGCAAACAAATGAACAGTGAAAGTAACAAAAACTTGTAAAATACATTTTAATGGGCATAATTAAGTGTGAAAATAACCAAAGGATATACAGTCAAACCCAAAATGATTCAGAGACCAGATATAATTTTTGAATTTTTTTTTACTAGTGGGTGCAGGACACTATAGTTAATTTATGTAAGTGAGGGTTGCCCGACTAAGTATTGATAGTTGTGTAAATACTATCATACTAACAGCTGTCTGAATTGTTTTGGTTGATTGTAATCCATTACATACCTTTCTGTCAAAGTTATCTGACATGATCAAGCTGAATTTGTTCTGACACAGTTTAACTCTGAGTTCTTGTCATATTTTATTACCATTTTCTAAACTATAGCGAATAAACTGTGATAATGTGAGAAATGTTGAAGGTGTCTGAATAAATTTTGGTTTGACTGTATCTATTTGATAAATGAAGGACTGCTATAACCAACTAATATTATACATACTCTTTTGGTTTCTGTACCCAATATTTGAAAAATGTACAAATGCAATAATAATATCGGTATCGGTACTCGGTGTCAGCAAGTACCAAAAATAAAAGTATCAGTATTGGGCGAGTACTGGAAAAAGTGGTATCGGTGCATCCCTAGTTACATGTGTTTGATATGTGGCAGTTAAAGAAAATGTATTCAGTATTTTTTTTATATAAAATGTATTTTTATATTTAGTAGTTTAAAATGTATTTATATGTACATATATACATATTATGCATTTCTATATTATAATTTATGTGTTTATATGGAGATTTTATGTTTTTTAAATTTTCACTGTTTTATGAATTATTTTGTTTCATAATCGATTTACTGTTTCATTTTTTTTTGTTGTTGTTGTTTTGAAAAGCCAATTTAATGGCAGGTTTTTTTTTCTTTTTCTTTTTCATTTTAGCCCCATATAGTGTGACAGCTATAGTCAATGTGTGTTCAGTGAACTCTATATTTTTTCTGACCAATAATGTTTGAATTGTCCGATAGCTTTTTGCTGCCAATACTTTAAAGTATACTGTATGTCTATACAGAAATTGGTTTTCTGATACATACCTGCTTTAAAAAAACAAGCAAATTGAGTACAAAAGGTAGAACAGAATAGAATAATAAGAACATGAATTTCCATTCACTCTGGCCTAACATTGCACATATGATCAATGGAAGCACAAGATTAGCAAGCAGAGGTTTGTCACTTGATGTTGTGCAGGCTGTCTTATCACATCCTCTTCTGTCTGATCATATCCTGATGTATTCCTCCCCTATATCTCCCTCTCTCCTCTTTCTCTTAAACTCCCTATGTACATTCAGCTCGTCTCTTTCTCCCAAAAGCACTAATGCATGGCTCCATGTGTTGGCTATCCTTCCTGAGTCTGCATGACTGTAATGCTGGTATGGCTGTGATATATGATGGATGAAATTGTAAGCATCTGTCTACCCAGCTCCCTCATTCCCTCCGCAGTTCAGGTTTCTTTCCATCCATCTCCTGACTCCTCTATCTGTCTCTCCGCTGTCAGGTTTCCATGAGGTCAGGGTTCTCGCCCCCAAAGAGCCATAAGCTATTAGAGCACATAGATCCAATGCCTCCCTGGGCTCCAGTGGATATGAAATAATTAATTAATTAATTAATTAATTAATTTTATCCAAATCACATTAAACTCAGACAAACTAACAATTAAACTTTTTTTTTTTTTTTTGCCATGATGCTGAAGATTCAGTAAAACAGCTTAGTTGATATTCCATAACGTCATGTCTGTGTCTGTACAGGTCTCCATCATGAGGGCATTTTCAGGGTGTCCGGCTCTCAAGTGGAAGTCAATGATATTAAGAACGCCTTTGAAAGAGGTGAGTCTTTCTGGACATATGCTGAGCCTTCTTTTATCTATTTCGAATCAAGTCTGCATTCTTAAAGGGTTCTTACTTTCTTGTGTCTCAGGTGAGGACCCGCTGGCTGGGGACCAAAACGATCATGATATGGACTCCATTGCTGGAGTGTTAAAGCTCTACTTCAGAGGCCTGGAGAACGCCCTCTTTCCTAAGGAAGTCTTCCATGACCTAATGTCCTGTGTCTGTGAGTGTCCGCTTTATTTTCTACACCCACGGTACACGTGCGCACTGCAGACCAGATTAGACAATGGAGAAGCTTTTGTCCTAAATAAACTCGTTTCTTGTTCATGTTGTTTTTCCAGCCATGGAGAACCTCCAGGACAGAGCTGTCCACATCTGCAAAGTCCTGCTGTCTCTACCCAGCAACATCCTGGTTATCATGCGATACCTGTTCGCTTTCCTCAGCCAGTAAGTTCAACCGATCAGAGCTGGTCTGGAATTAATTTTTCCACCAAAGTCATTGGGTTCTTTTGTTTGTCTGTGATTTTGAACTCAAGACAAGGTCTGTGACAATAATTTACTCCCCCTCATGTCCTTCCAACCCTGTATCACTTTCCTATGTCCAGGGAACACAAAAGTAGATGTTTTACAGAATGTCCCAGGTGCTCTTTTCCATATGAAAAGGAAAGGACAAAAAAGCTCCTTTAATGAAATTAAATTAGGTCCATATGGCTTGTGCTCAGTGTTCCAAGTAATTCCATAAACTACTACGTTATTATTCAATTAAATAGAATTTTTTTCTGGCAAAAAAGCTGTATGGTTTAATAACTTTTAATTAAATTTTTTTTTTTACCCCTGATGAGTTTGCATCCCTGAAGGTATGAGATTTTCAGTGAATAAAGGAATAAAAATAAAGTTAGTGGTTTGGAGCAACATGACAGTGAGTAAATGATGACTAGAATTATTTGGGTGAACGATTCCTTTAAACCAGCGCCAATTTACCATGATTTATTACAGCTAACCTTAGCCCAGCATACAAAGAGCTTATGTACAGTCTAAACTTACCATTTTACAAGACCTTTTTACTACAAATTGAAATATTCTCTTACCAAAAGGAGAAGGTTGGCCTATACCCAACCTCAGCTGAGGGCTACAGCACTCAAGCCCTCCGTATCTCTGCCTCTCGTTCTTCCACTTTTTTCCACCCTGTGGTCCTTTTGAAAGACCCTCCAGAACACAACATGATCTTAGTTTCTACTCCAGCCCGCCGTTGTGCACGCAGGCGTGTCTGGTTTTCCTAAAGCATCTGAACCCTTTCCAGCCCTCGTATCACAGCCAGAAGGGGGAAGTGAATGTGTGTTGAAATATGGTGTCGCCATCAAGCCACCATTAGTGCTCCCATGCTGGACGTCTGTAGCCCTGGGTGAATGGTTTCTCTGTTTGCTCTACGGCCGATAGATCTTTCCTCTGCTATAAAAGTCAATGGAGGTGCCAGAATAGGTCTCTGAAGAACTGCCGCTCACTCTAATGCACTCTAGCATTCATTACAGCCAATCATGTGCATCGTTCGTAGGTATGCATGGCATACACTCACAAATACACATCAAGAGATCTCATTTAGACGGCAATGTAGTCAGAAATAAACAAGAAGAGATAGGTAATTTGAAGCTCTTATTCAGTTGTAACTGTTTGGGCAGGACGGCGCCTATAAATTTGGTTTGGAGCCCCTACTGCTTGTATCCCACCCCCCCGTTACCCCAAAAACACTTACGGTTAAGGACACCTCTCCCAACATTTTGGACACATCCAAGTTTTCGTTAATCGAATGAAGTGGGCATACTGTGGAGTAAGAAAGGAACAAATAAAAAGGTGTAACAATTCAGAGCAGTCTCACAGACACGCATAAATGGGAGAAAGCTGGCTTAGGCTCATGATAAATGAGCTGTTGCGAGGAAGTGTAGCTAGAGATTCAGTCTGGAACTCAATCTGCTTTTCACATTAGTCCAGCAGGAGCTGGTCTCTCCATGAGAATAGTCATATGATCAGAGATCATTTTAACATGTTTCTGGATAGTATGACTATTTTGTACATTTGTTGTTGTTGTTTTTTTTGTTTGGCATACACTCACAAATACACATCAAGAGATCTCATTTAGACGGCAATGTAGTCAGAAATAAACAAGAAGAGATAGGTAATTTGAAGCTCTTATTCAGTTGTAACTGTTTGGGCAGGACGGCGCCTATAAATTTGGTTTGGAGCCCCTACTGCTTGTATCCCACCCCCCCGTTACCCCAAAAACACTTACGGTTAAGGACACCTCTCCCAACATTTTGGACACATCCAAGTTTTCGTTAATCGAATGAAGTGGGCATACTGTGGAGTAAGAAAGGAACAAATAAAAAGGTGTAACAATTCAGAGCAGTCTCACAGACACGCATAAATGGGAGAAAGCTGGCTTAGGCTCATGATAAATGAGCTGTTGCGAGGAAGTGTAGCTAGAGATTCAGTCTGGAACTCAATCTGTTTTTCACATTAGTCCAGCAGGAGCTGGTCTCTCCATGAGAATAGTCATATGATCAGAGATCATTTTAACATGTTTCTGGATAGTATGACTATTTTGTACATTTGTTGTTGTTGTTTTTTTTGTTTTTTTTTTATATTTGGTGCACGTCAAGCCATGCATCAGTTGTTAATATATAGAAACAGAAATGTTCTTAAGTATAGTTCTTATTTTTTCTATATTTTTTTATTTATTTATAATTTTTATTTTTAGGACTTTATTCATTATTAATTAATTAATTATTAAGAAATGTTCTTCGGAGCAGTTAAAGTGCCATCTTAATGTTTTTGTGTGATATTTCTTATCTAAGATAGTCTTGAGTTAATAAAAAGATGGACAGAATGCAGGTGTGTCAAGACGGAAGTTTAATTTCTTTTAACTTGACACAGCATCCAAAAAAAGCAAGAAGTAAAAATATATTGCCAAAATATAGGTTTTTCTCAGCAAATTTTGATGCACAGTAAGTCAGGGTTTCCCAAATTGGGGTTTATAAAACCTTGGGAAAGTTAATAATTAATAGTTTTTTTAATTAAAATAAATATTCATAAAATAAAAACAATCAAGATACAACACTTACTACAAACGATACAAAATATTTTGTGATTTGTGTGATTATTTTTTTTCTTTATTTTTTTATTTTATTTTTTTATTATTTGTTTACCTGCATGTCATGTAACCATTAACAATATCAGAGAACAGTGAACATGCAAATGTGTTCTTGTTATTAAAATATTAACTTAAAATTAAAATAAATATTAAAGTCAAAGGGGTATGCCTGGCACAAAAATGGTGATTCCTGTGTATACAATAATATAATTGAATGTAATAATTGACATTAAATTTGCATACAATAATTTGTTAGGGATGCACTGAAATGAAAATTCTGGGCCGAAAACCGAAAATTCTAGATGCACTTGGCCAAAAAAACTAGTTTTTTTTGTGTAAGACTTTTTAATTTAACTCAATAATTTTAGTGATAATGAATTTAAAAAAAACAAGCCAATAAAAAAACACACTTTTATTGAAAGTTAAACAAATTAGACCGAAAATATGTTAATATGAAATATCAATATGTCACTTTTATTCAGTTCTATGCAACATAATCAGATTTAACGTTTAGCGTCATTTTACCTGCGTTGCTCAGTACAGCAATACTACACCATGTTACATCACAGTAGCGCTATTGCAAACAGGAACAAATAACGATATTATAACAATATTTGAGCAGACTTTTCATATCCGTTTTTTTTTTTACTCTGTATTTTTCTCTCTCTTTTAACTAGTCTGTCCCAGTACAGTGATGTTAACATGATGGACCCCTACAACCTGGCTATCTGCTTCGGCCCCACACTCATGTCTGTGCCTGAGGGCCACGACCAAGTCTCCTGCCAGGCACATGTGAACGAGCTCATCAAAACCATTATTATACATCACGAGACCATCTTTCCAGGGCCCCGTGAGCTGGAGGGGCCCATCTATGACCGTGGAGGAGCCGCTGAGGAATACTGGTGAGTCTAGAGTGAATTTGGTTACAAAACAAAAAAAAGGAAGAAAGAAGGATGAAAAATTAATCCCATAATCTTGGCAGAATTCATTGGCAGTGAATACTGGCCCCACATTTTATGGAAGCAGCTGCTCAGCCGAACCACAAAACCAGGAATGAGTTCATCAGACGAGCTTGATTTAATGCAGAATCAGTCAGACATGATGGATTGAGCATTATAAAGATAAAGAGACATTATTAAAGACCAACAGAGCCCTACAGGGAGTCAGTCACTTTTTAAAGTTCCTATGTATCTTATGCTCATTTAAGCCGTCAGTTCAATGGTTGAAGGCACAGATACATTTCCATGTGTCAGCACATGACCTAGACTCCCAAAATATGTCACCGTGAAAGCAACCAGAAATAGTGTCAGGCAGCCAGACTCAAAAACCACCATCATGAGGTCTGTTTTAAAATGAAAAACGAGGTTATCCTACCCTGCTCAAGGCCAAGTGCTAATGAAATGCCCTCCTGCAGCTTTTTAAAAACTGTTTTGGATGTCATAGAGGAAATAACTTCAGATTGCTGTGTCATCGTGAAAAGAAAGGTCAGGTTTGTTTGTGAGATGCAGGCTCATTTCATGTGGTTTTCATGCACGGGATTGTTCAGATTGCATGGGCGGTGTAATTAAGACTTTGAGCTGGTGAGATGATGTGTCGCTCTGCACAAATCTGCGGGGCGTCACGGCTCAGACACGGGAACCGGAGCTGATCGCGGCCGCTCTAGTCAGTGCTTGTGTTGGGATTATACCAGCACGTTTCTGAACCATCCCAGAAGCGGCTCTCTAAGGCGTTTATACAGCGATCTGTCATGCCACATAAAAGACTGTCAAACGCCATTTATTATTTGAATTTCCTGAGAAGAAGAAGAAGAAGAAGAAGAAGAAGAAAAAAACAAAAAACTGTACCGAGACCCGTACCGAAACGGTTCGGTACGAATACGTGTACCGTTACACCCCTAGTGTGTGTATGCGTGTGTGTATATATATATATATTTATATATATATATATACTAAATACTTTTTGTTTTTATATAATGATGACAATTTGGGTACAGTTGTGATGCCCTAAAAAAGTGACCCAGACAGTTTTTGACAGTGAAGTTTACTTTACACAGTGTCCTTGAAATGCTAAAGTAAAAGTTTTGTGAAAAAAGACTGATGCTGAGAGCAGAATGAGATATCCAGCATCTCTGGGGAAGACATTAAAAATCGCAGAAGCTTCTGACCTCCCTGAACACAAACTCATCTGCTCGAGGGTGAAGAAGCCACATGGATCATTTTACCTTAAGAGCCCAGATCAAAGCTACACTCGGTCTCTCAGATGGAGTGACAGGAGGATCACAGGATCTTCTTCACCAACTAACTGCTCAATGAGGCCAGTCTGTCATTTTAAAGATTCACTGAAACTGTGATGGACGTGTACTTTGCCAAACCTCTCTGACAGCATCTCCCTACACACACCAGGCAGAGATTAGTACATTATACAGTCATTACCCTCAGGTTCCTTCTGTCTAAAGCTGCTTTCTAATGAAACTAAGCTTTTCATTAGCCCAGGCTTCCTACTTGCCAACTGTCTATGTAATAAACCGGGATGGTCTTAGTGAGATATATTCCAGCTGGGTAGAGCACTGTACTTTCACTCTGCAGTTTCCTCCAGCATATGTTACGAGAGAGCGGCTTTTATTAGTAGAGTGATAACAGTAAATTAGGCCGTGTTTTTGCTTGAGTGCTCAATAGGAGATCAGGTTGTTCAGGTGGATTTTTCGCTAAATTAATACTAGGGTATTAGAGGGTTTATTGGCCTGTGAATGGCATAACAGAGTTGTTATCAGCACTGAGGCCCTCATGACCTTGGAAACGAGCCGTTTTCCTGTGCATTAGTACTGTGTTTTCTAGTCACATTAGATTCCGTACTGGAGCTGAGTTGAGTGAGCACAGGTTCAGTTTAGAGTCAAGAGTCCACAGGAAAGTCCAGCTTTGATCCTCGTATCTGGGCTCTGCTTCCTGTTTTGCTTCAAAGAAGCATGGACACTCTGTTTCAGGCCTGAAGAGTGAGACATAGAGAATCATAACTGGTTCTCAGAAATGTTCTCATTCACAATGTCGTGTGCTTAATTTAGCTTTCCTTCTGCTCTTTCCTTCTCATTACTACTATAGCAGTCAAAAGTTTGAATACATCTACTCATTCTTGATGATTACTATTTTTCTTTTCTTTTTTTTAATAATAGTAAGGTTGTAAAAACCATGAAGTATTGTAAAAAAAAAAATATGGGGGAAAATAGTGAATTGTGGCTCAAAAATGGGTCCTGATTGGGTCATGGACAGCAGGGGGGAAACAATGTGAATACAAATAATAAAACCATGCATTTATAATCATATAATATATATAATCGTATAATCATGCATATTAAGGATAGTAAATATAAATATATACAAAATATAAATAATAGAAAATAATAAATCTAAATAGTATTATGAGCTTTTAAAAGGTACAAATTCTTCTAATCAAACTTTCTGTGTCTGTGCACTTTTTATTTATTTACTGTATTTATTTATTGATTTATTTTTATTTACACTACGTTTAAAAGTTTGGGGTCAGTATTTATTCGTTTATTTTTTTACTTTTATTCAGCAAGAATGCATTAAATTGATCAAAAGTGTGAGTAAATTCCTAATATTTGTTTAAAATTCTAATACTTCACAGTATATTTCTTTTTACTGTTTTTTTATCAAATATGCAACCTTAGTTAGCATAAGAGACTTCTTTCAAAAGCATATTAAAAATCCAATCTACCCAAACAAATGGTCTGTTAATTTATTTACTAAATTATATCACCTAAAGTGGAAATTTATACCTTAATACAATTTATGTCTACAAAATTATTCAAAATAATTTACAGAATAATACAGAATCTGTAAGCTGTAGATCAAATGGTCTTCAAGATCATGGGAAACTCAGGTGTTTAGTCAACTTTTCATTTTAATCACCTTTTTTACTTGTTAATGTAGATGTGTGTATTGCATGTAAATGTTGGTTTATGTACTAAAGCAATGGTGAAAGTTTGTGGTGTTGTCATTTTTAATGTCTGTAATTGAGGTTTTCACTGAAGCATGTTTCTTGTGGTCAATTCAACAGTGATAGTCCACACATTGAGCCCCCCCTAGTGGATGAACCTGCACCTGACGCTGCCTCTGAAATCCACAACAGCGATGATGGTGAGCCCAGATGCCATTCAAAAGACCGTACTAACAAGCGCAAACATTTTTCATAAAGACACACTGTTGCCACCAGCGCAAGTCAGCTCATCGTGGAAGCTCCTGTTTCACACCCTCTTTTGTCCACGCACCCCTTCTGCAGCTCCAAACCTGTTATGATAAATGTGCTCTAACCTGCCTGGCTTCTTGTGCAATAACCCTTCCTCTTTTCCTTGTGCTCTTCCTCTCTTCTCACTTTCTCCCCTTCCTGTCCTCTCGATCTTTGTCTTTCCCTGTCTTTCGTGTCTCTAAATAGTAAAGTCAGGGTCCTTGAACGTTTCAGAGTTTGACCCCATTGAGGCCATCGCACGTTTTGACTACTCTGGACGCACCAATCGTGAGCTTTCCTTTAAGAAGGGGGCGTCTTTGCTGCTGTACCACCGTGCATCTGAGGATTGGTGGGAGGGTCGCCACAACGGCACTGAGGGACTGGTGCCGCACCAGTACATAGTAGTGCAAGACATGTAAGCTGTTTGGTTTATTGACTTGAATTAGTGATATCGATCAGAACTGCTTCTTTAACCAGTTATTCAGTGTCCTACTAGTAATATCTGATTAACTATCAGTAAGACCGCCCATAGTGTATGTGAATTCTAGAGGTGTTTGTGATTTTGTGTGATAGGCCGGATGGATATGCAGGCAGAGGAAGTCCCAAAGCTGACCTAGAAGCTTCCCATGATGCTGCGGAAGAGAAGGTGTCCACCAGAGCCAGTGCCAGCTCACCCACTGGAGGTCATGTAGCTGATATCTACCTAGCTAACCTCAACAAGTAAGTTAACCGTTAATCTGGTATGATAAAAATGGTGTGCAAAAAAGAAAAATGTTACATATATATACTCACACACAGTATATATATATGTATATGTACACAGGACCGGATTTATGCATAGGCATTCTAGGCATGTTCCTATGCTCACTCGTCCAGGGGGGCCCAAACACAATGAAGAGATATTTAATATTTTTGTTATACTATGGGCTATCTACAACAGTAAAAGAACCAAAACCCCAGAAGACATTGAGCAAATAAATGTAACAAACAATAGGGTAAAAAATTACAAAGTATTTCCATGTCTTCCACCTGTTTTATGTAGGCTACGGAAATAACGCTTTCTCTCGTTCTCTCTCACAGACGCACACATACGCACTCACGCACACACACGGAGACGCGACCAGAAACTTGTTGTTAGCGCTGCCCCGCGAATTTATCAATAAAATAGTTTCACAGCTGAAAAGCTACATGACTTTTCTCAGTAGCGAGGTTCTTGAAGCAGTTTAACTTAAAGATTAGCTATTAGTAGACGCTGCTGCTGAATACTGCTGAGAGACGCACAGACCCAGGTATTCACACGCGCTTAATCTCTCTCTCTCTCTTTCTCTCTCTCTGAGTGCATTAGACTGCATTAATAACTGCATTAGCCTGCATATCAATGGCTCAAGTCTCTGTTATTAGCTCTAAAATTGCGTTTTGGAATTTGCAATGGAAGGGTTCTGTAAAATACGTAAAAAATTAGTTCAACACTCACGAGATTTCAGGACGGATACATGACAAATGTCTTGAAATAAATCATCTTAACAATGTCTTGATGTGTGGTTGTGACTCCAGAACGTTAAAATTATTAGAGAGATAATGCACTCCTGAAGTTATGTGGCCACGACGCTGCACCTATTAATGGAATGGTCTTTCTCAGTTCTCAAACTACTTTTTTTCAAACTAGGATTTTTATTGATTAAATGCAAGCGCTTCTTGCGATAGAAAACACTGTAATGGTTTCTACTGATTAAGAAATATTTTTGTTTACTTGGATGGTAGCTAATGTTAGGTCTATTACATTAATAGGAAAGGGGGGCCCAAAAATTTTTTTGCCTATGTCACGAAAAGAGGTAAATATATATATATGTATATACACACACACACACAGTATATATAGATAGATACAGTATGTTTATAAGTGTGTGTGTGTGCGTGTGTAAACAAAAAATTAACTAAATGTTGATTATCATGTAATTTTGCCTACACTTTATCCATCTTAGGATGAGGAAACGGCCGGAAGCGCCCAGCATCCGAAGAACAATCCGGCCAGTGGAGGGTCTAGGCGAGGGCTCATCCGGAGCAACAGGGGGTTTAAAGACCTCGTCCATGCCGGCAAGTGGACTGGCCAAGGAAGGGACAGACAAGCGACCGGTCAGTGCTCACAGCGTCCTAAACTCCATCACCCGACACTCCTCTCTGAAAACTAAGGTAGAAGGTCCTCAGCTCCGCAAGTCCACTCCTGCAGGGCGATCCAAGAGTTTCAGCAATCACAGACCACTGGACCCAGAGGTCATCACTCAGGTGGAGCACAGCTCACAGGTACGACAAACCCAGAATCTTCTCATTTAATTCAGCGTGACAGTGCTTTGATTGCTTTAAAAGTATTATTTAAATTCAGAAATATTCAGACACTGTCAGTTTTATACAAACTTACAATGAATAAGAATGGCACACGTGTAAACAGACAATCCATTTTCCACTCCGAAAAATAGTGCTAAGCTCTTCAGAGGAGTGTCTGTGTTTTTAGAACATCCTATTTATCTTTCTTCGATCCCGGCTGTGGTTGTATGTAATTGCGTTGGAGTTCCAGCAGTCCAGTCATTATGAGTGTGTACTTGCTGCACAACAGATATCAGAAGCGAGTGACCTTAGCTAAAACCAAAGCTACGGATGTTTTTTTTTTTTAAAGGAGTGAAGTGCTGGAGAGTGGCACTAAACTCCATCAATATGAAAAAAAAGCCAGATGACAGTAATGTTTTTGAAATTGCAGCTACAAAAATAAATCTATATATACACTGCTGTTCAAACGTTTGGGATCAGTAAGGTTTTTTATGTTTTTAATGGAGTCTCTTATGCTCATCAAGGCTGTATTTATTTGATCTAAAATATAGCAAAAGCAAACATTGTGAAATATTATTGCAATTTCTAATATTGTTTTCCTGTTTTAATATACTTTAAAGTATAATTTATTTATGTGACGCAGCATCTTCAGTGTCACATGATCCTTCAGAAATCATTCTAATATGCTGATTTATTCTCAGTGTTGGAACTGTTGTGCTGCTTTTTTGGAACCTGGGATACTTTTTTCTTTCATTTGATGAATAAAAAGTTAAAAAAGAACAGCATTTATTCAAAATAGAAATCTTTTCTAACAATATAAGTCTTTATTATCACTTTTTATCCATTTAACACATTCTTGCTAAATAAAAGTATTAATTTCTTTTTTTTTTAAATACGGAACTCAAACTTTTGAATAGTAGTGAATAGTAGAAAAAAAATTATATTTTGACTAAACACTGTTCTTTTAAACTTTTTATTTATCAAAGAATCGTGAAAAAAGTATCACGGGTTCCAAAAAATATTAAGCAGTACAACTGTTTCCAACATTGACTATAACATTGACTACAGGATATTAGAATGATTTCTGAAGGATCATGTGACACTAAAGACTGGGGTAATGATGCTCAAAATTCAGCATTGCTTCACAGGAATAAATTCTATTGTATATTAAAATAGAAAGCTGTTACTTTAAATTGCAATAATATTTCTCAAAATTATATATTATATTAAATATAAAAATTATATATATATATATAAAATAAAAATTAGAAAAAACTAAATTCAAGTCTTTTATTGTTGTAAATACAGTAAAATAACGCCCTTTTTAATCAGAAGAAAAACTGATAGAGAATTAAAATTAAAATATAAAATGATGTTTTTTAAATTGTTTTATATAATATACATTCACATTTTCTCATTTTGTCTTTCAGGACATTGAGGCGACTATGAACACGGCTCTAAGTGAGCTGCGAGAGCTGGAGAGGCAGAGCAACGTCAAACACACTCCTGACGTTGTGCTTGACACTCTAGAGCAGCTGAAGAGCGGAGGGGCATCTGAACCCTCCAGCCCGCTTCATTCCCGCCTGCTCCGTGAGGCCGACTCCTCCCAGCATCCTCTGCAGCGCAGCGCCAGTTCGGCCAGCGACATGCCCTCCACCTTCCGGCCCGGCAAAACCTCGGGTCCCAAAAGCCCTCTGTCATCAATGTCTACAACAGGTCTGTCAGCTTCTGGCTCCAGCTTTAGAGATAACAAACCCCCAGCCACCAAACCCAAGCCTGTGGTGTTCCCAAAAAGCAGTTCGGCAGGGGGATCCCCAACCACCACCATACTGCCAACACCACCGCCCCCTCCACCACCCACCGACAAGTCTTGCCCCGTCTGAGGGTTTACAGCCTCGATCTGTGATCAATTTCTTAGTAATTCCTAGAGCACCCTCTAATACTGACTCTTTGGATCTTCATGAAAAACTGTGGACAACTTTTAACAGACTCAAACTGATATTGGATGCTTGCGTGATTGAGCATGAGTGTGTGTGTATGGAATTAATATACACATGTGGAATATTGGAGTGATTTTACAACACTGTTTTAGTTTGGATTGAGACATGGACGTCAGCAATCCCTCTTTTCTAATCCCAAATTAGTGGTTTGGAGTATTTTCGACTGATTATATAAGGCGTCAGACTTTGAGGACAAACGAGCAGTTGGAAGTGCTTTCCTGATATGAATTTGCCGCTCCTTGTCACATAACAGCATTATGTCTTGATCCAAATCTGTCTTTTTCTTCAGATTCTACAATTCTGTTATACAATAATCAGTAGTTACAGTTCATATAATCCACAGTTTCTGCTTAAACACACCAATCCTAAACTCACCAAATAAAGGAATAGGAACATCTTTGCATGAGGATTCACAAGATATTTGCATGGCAAACGTGGATTCCCTAACAAACAGATTCAAAAGCACTTCTGACGTTCTTAATATGTGGTTTTATTGTACTATTATATCAGAGGGCACATAAAAAAGAGATTGATGTTTTGTATAAGTTTAATGATCATGATTATAACTGGAAAAAGTGATCTAAAAATGAGGAATGTCATGCAAGCACATTATTTCTTCGTCGCCCATGTATAAAAAAACAAAACGGATAAAAGAAACATGATTTTATTTCATTTTCCCTAGGTCATTACTCACCTTTGGGTCTGTATCATGGTATCTATGTATTAGTATGTGTGTTTACGTACAGTATGTATATTCTGAATCTTAGCAGCCTAACAGCAGCTTTTAGAGATTGACGATGCAAAAAAGGGAAAGACTTAAAACAGACCAATGGCGGATACATGCAAAAACGTAGCTTGCTTTCCTCCGTTTTTCCAACTCTGAAAGGATAAGCGTGCAAAAAGCCTCTTTAAAAGTCTGACAATCTTCATCACACGGTCTGCCTGATTATGCCTTCGGACAAGTCTGTATTTTCCTAAGCGAGGCCTTAATGTCCTAGAAAATTAGTTGTGGTGGTATGCAAAAGTAGCCTGCTTCACTTTGAATCAAGCAATGACTGTGACTCCTGGAAAATATCTACAGGTAGACTGAGATGATGTTTTTGACTGAGGCCCCCCCCCGCCAACCCCCCCCCCCCCCCCCCCCAAAAAAAACCCACATAATTTGGACAAGCTTTTTCATTACGTGTTATTTTCTGAATGTGGTGTCGTGTTCTGAAAACGTCTTCACAGGTGGTTACATTTGTTCATGTGTTAATGATTGGAAGTATTCTGTGTGTGTTGTTCCTGATACCTCATAAAGGCAACTGGAAACTGTCTTAATGGAGTTCTTTTGTGGGCAGGACTTGATGACAGCAGGAAACTCACAGTGTGTGTTTAATGTTAATAGTATGCTGTTGGCCGAGGCCTCCGTTTACACACACACATACTGTTTTCTTTCATGGAGTAAACTGAAATCAATCATTATACACTTGAATCTGCATTGTATGTTTGTGAACAAATTAAGTGAGGGTGATTTTCTTTCTTTATTTGTAATCATAACTATTGTTAAAATGTAATTCCTGTCCAATTGAAACAAGACCGTAAAATGAATTGTCTTGTCAGATATATTTATAGTTGTCCATTCAGATATCTTACCAGAGAAACCTGTGTTCAGATGTACTTTGTATATACAATAGTGTACATTTACAGAGGTACATTCTTTTTCTTCATAATTAGTTTGTGGTTTTCTTTTTCTTTTTGGTACAATATTGTACAGTTACCACTGTAGTTGCCCCTCAAATATACATTCTATAATTCCACGTGTAGTTCTTGTAGTAAACAGTTTTAAATAAATAAAAAAATTGCTTGCTGAATGTGTATTTGATTATTTGCAATAAAAATGTGCAAAAAATTGAAAATGATCTTTTTCCCAATTTTGCCAGTCACTTTTTCATTTTAAATCAAACATGCTTGCTAAACATCTTTTTGATTGTTTGAAAATCCTACTTTTATTTTGAATTTTCATTTTTGCCAATTTTTTTGGGTTTACATATATAACTGGGCATGGATCTCTTGTTACAGTGGCTACCATTAAGCAATTTTACCAGCCATTACACAAAAAGTACCCACATTTAGCTTTCACACATTTGTTGTTTGTAATGTTTGTAAAATACCTGAGTGATTCACATCATATCTAGGTTTTTCTATGGAACTAGAAGGGACTGTCCAGTTGCAGCTCCAATTTCTCATGAATTTCCTAATTCCCGATTCTTTAGTGTTCATTCACTGGACAAAAATGAATCCAATATAGTATGGAATTTCATTAAGAAACTAGAGAAGTTTGTTCACTTGCTAAGTAATAAAAAATATATTTATATAAAGATCAAAAATGATTTTTTTACTTCTTCTTTTTTTTTGCACCATAAATTGTACAGAAGGAAAAGATACCTCTCTGTTATGAAGAACCTTAAGACACCTATTCTGTTCTTGAGGAAATTAAAAATATATTTAAAGTGTCAAAATCTGATTAAGCATTAAAGCTGTCACTCACACCTGTCCTGATCTCACTCCAGAAGATGCTAAAAAATCAAACATAAAATCAAATATAAAACGATTTTACATCAAGGTATAGACGTTTAACTCGACGATACATTGTATCACTTTGAAGCGCAGCGGAGTGAAGTAAAGGTCGGCGCCTATACCTTGTGTTTGTTGCCTGCATGTGGGAAAGCATGGCTGGCCGTAAGGATGAAGAGAAAGACTCTGGACAGTACATCACACATGAACAGGTGTGTGAATTGATGGAGCAACAGAAAGCCTTCTATAAAGAACTGTTGCAACAACAAGATAATATGAGTCTTAAGCAATCAATATTTTCACAGGCCTGGAAGGAAGCTAAAAGTATGCCTTTGACTAAAGATAGAAGAATACAATTTAGCCGCTCCAATAGCCACACGGTGAGTGTGTTACCAGTGTTAAGTAAGATCCTAGAGAAGGCAGTATTTGATCAAATTACAAGATTATTATGTATCACAGAATAATCTGATATCAAATTATCAGTATGCTTTTAGAAAAGGACACAGCTTTAGCACAAATGACAGATGATTGGTATCGAGGGTTGGATTAAAAAAAAATGTGGAGCAGTCTTATTAGAGTTTACAGCTGCATTTGACCTTACTGATCACAAGCTTCTTTTGGAAAAATTTAAGTTATATATTTAGACCACCAGTAATTGCTTGGATGGAAAGTTATTTGGATAATAGATCACAGAGAGTTTTTTTTTTATTAACGGAAGTTATTCGGCTAGAAGGGGAATTGAATGTGGAGTTCCACAAGGGAGCAGTTTAGGACCACTTTTGTATTCCATTTTTACAAATGATTTATATCTGGTATTAAGAAGTGCTAAATTAACAATGTATGCAGACGATACAACAGTTTATGCATCTGCACAAACGTCAGTTGAACTGACGGCTATTTTGAATAGAATGGAGTTGGAGAGTATAGAAAAGTGGATTTTAGAAAACAAGTTGATACTAAATACATCTAAAACAAAGAGTACAGTATTTGGGTCTAATTTTTCTCTACGGTCCAAACCGGAGCTGAAATTATATATAAATAAAACACTTATTCACCTTGGATGATAAATTGTCATGGTCAAAGCATACTGAGAACACAGTGAAGAGAATGGGAAGGGTGGTAGCTGTAGTAAGGAGATGTAGACAATATTTTACGTTTGATATAATGAAAATAATATTAGATTAGAATATTAGATTAATCCTCCAGTGTCCGTATGGATATGAATTGTATGCATTTTGATCTTAAATGGCTAAGAGTGGAAAATAGGATGACTGCTGCAACACTGTTATCAACATGGAAGGTTTTACATTTAAAGCTCCATTGGATGAGTATAATCAATTACAATCTAACATTCAGTAACATGAATATGCCACTAGACGAGCAACAGAGGGTAGATTTCTACTCTCTAATGCTAAAACAAATTTTCTTAAGCGTACAGTAACATTTAGGGCAAAAATCATGGAATCTTTTACCATTGTCATTAATTAGGATAACAGAAAAATTGGCAGGTAAAAGCACACCTTGGAATTCTGTACTTTTCTGAGTTTGAGGTATAGGAATTAATTGAATGAGCAATACATTTTTTATATCGTAGGTGTTATAGATATTTAAAAGGATGGAAGAAATGTGAGATGCTTTGGAATGTGGAGAATGTATTTCACTTTTTATTTTCTTATTTCTTAATATGATATGCATAATAATGTATGAATGTTAAGTGTGGTGTGGACCCCAAGAAGACTAGTAATGCTTTAGGGCACAGCTAATGGGCATCCAAATAAATAAATAAACAAATAATTTATCCATAGCAGAAAATATGGGCATCTTTTCGTCTTTTTTTTCTAAAGAAATCCAGGAAAGCTTTGTAAAGAATTGACTAAAATATGCAAAGCTAGGTAAAAGTTCTTTCCTTGTGTCTTTTGAACAGACGTCAGGCAAAAAAATTCTCTTTTTTTTAGCCTATGCTTGCCCTTCTGCATTATTTTGCTATTTTAAATTCCGTCCACGAGAGGACGACATCCATTTTTGGTTTATTGTCACTTTTAATATGGTGGACAAAAATGGTTAGTGATGGCTGCAATATAACAAAGAGTGAAAAATGTAAGGGGGTCTGAATACTTTCCGTACCCACTGTAAATTACGTAAAATGAGCCACAACATAATATTTAAATTATGTTAATCTATCTAACTTTCAGATTAAAACATATGTTAGGAGAAAAACACAGCAGTACCCTTAACACAAACGCGATGCACCGAACAAGGAAGTTCCTGACAGAAATGAAAGTTGCTGCTGACACTGGTTTCCGTCGAGCTGCTCTCATAACTTATGAGTTACAGGAGGACTGCAGGTGTAATTAGTCCACAGAAAAAACACACAGGGATTGACGAATTCGGATAAAAGTGGAAAATGCGCAGGCATCAAACACACAAATGGTTGGTTGGTTTGTTTTTGTGGTTTCGTGTGTAGTCAGTCAGAGTGTTGATGTTTATGATGATATGAAGGGGAAAGCCTCAGACTGTCGGCAGTTCACACAACGTCTTTCCATAAACATTATAGCTTATCTTTGGAGAAATATGAATGTGTTTAAATATATTCCGTGTTTGCAGGTCATATAGAAAGGAAATGGATTTTATTTGACGCCTCTGTTGTGACGCGAGTGACTTGTGAGGCGTATTGTGTTCAGAAACAAACCGGTGAGTCACTTTTGCTTCTTTCAACAATGGTTGGATGTGAAAAATACGTCCCGTCGTTCTGTTTACCTTATGTTTAGAACTAAAAATAAAGCACTTAAATCTTAATTTCACTCAACTTAACATACTGTTTGAAGGTAATAACCAGGAGTTCATTGGCAACATGATTAACATATTACATGAACTCGTGTGCATGTTTATGTGGTTTATGAGGACACAAATTTGTATAATAACATGGGTATGACATAGGTATTACAACGAGAAGGTGATTTATGAGGACATTTTCAGTGTCCCTGTAATTCAAAAGGCTTATAAATAATTCAGAATGAGTTTTTTTGAAAATCTAAAAATGCAGAAAGTTTCCTGTGAGGGGTAGGTTTAGGTGTAGGGCAATAGAATATACGGTTTGTACAGTATAAAAACCATTACGCCTATGGAGAGTCCCCATAAACCATAAAAACAAACCTGTGTGTGTGTGTGTGTGTACTGGTTTATATATTCTGGTGGGGACTTAAACCTGACTACACACAGACTCATGGGGACTCGTGTCACGGTGGGGACCTAAATTGTGGTCCCCACGGGTACAAAAGCTTATAAATCATACAGAATTAAGTTTTTTGAAAATCTAAAAATGCAGAAAGTTTCCTGTGACGGGTAGGTTTAGGGGTAGGGTTGGTGCAAGGCACCGAACCCCCAACTGCTCCCCGGGCACCACAGCATAAATGGCTGCCCACTGCTCCGGGTGTGTGTTCACGGTGTGTGTGTTCGTTCACTGCTGTGTGTGTGCACTTTGGATGGGATAAATGCAGAGCACTAATTCACATGCCACATGTCACTTCACTTCACTAGAATATACGGTCTGTACAGTAACCATTACGCCTATGGAGAGTCCCCACAAGGATAGCTGACCAGAGAGTGTGTGTGTGTGTGTGTGTATATGTATATGTATAATTATTCTGAGAAAAAGGACAGATAATCATGAACGAAACTTAGCATTAAATATTTACTAGAGAAGCTTTGATTGTTTTTCTGTCATACTCAGATCTGATCATGTCATCCGCTTGTGTCAACACAATGACCATAAGTACAGCAAACCACCTTTGGTCGCTGGATGATGTTCTTGGTCAAGGGGCCACAGCAAGCGTCTACAAAGCACGAAACAAAGTACTTTATCATTATTACAGTTTTCCCAATTTTCATTACTTAAACAGGTCATAGACAGGTCATACTTTGCCTAATGACACTTTATATTGGTGTAGAAAACAGGTGAGCTGGTTGCCGTGAAGGTCTTTAACTTGGTGAGCTACAACAGGCCGTATGAAGTTCAGATGAGGGAGTTTGAGGTGCTGCAGAAACTCAATCACGTCAACATTGTTAAACTCTTTGCTGTGGAGGAGGTACGTATCTGATGTGGTTTGTGACGCTGTTTAAGATTTTCCAGCCACATTAGTGCTGATTTTTCAGATGGTACTTTGATGTTTGAGTTTCTCATGATGCATTATGTCAGGGATATTTTTGGCCAACTGTTGGTCACACTTTATTTTAAAGTCCAATTCTAGCCATTAACAAACCATTAACTACAACTACAACTTGCCTCAGTAAACTCCTAATTTCTGCTTATTAATAGTAAGGTAGTTGTTAACTTTAGGTATTGGTTAGGATTAGGGATGTAGAATATGGTCATGCAGAATATGTGCTTTAGAAGTACTAATAAACAGCTAATATGTTAATAATATGCATGCTAATAATCAACTGGTTAATAGCGAGAACTGGTCTCTATACTAAAGTTATATAGTCTATAGCCAATTTGATAATTATTCAACTTTTTACAGTTAGAAATAGCATAAAATAAGGGTGATAATACTTTTGCAACCATTTGTATTGAAAGCATTTATATACACTACTGTTTTATTTTGAAATAGTTTTTTTGAGCAAGGAACTGGAGAGTCTGTAAAGATATTTAGAATTGTACAAAATATTTCTATTTTAAACAAATGCTTTTTGTAAATAAACACACTTTTGATTCATCAAGGAATCCTGAAAAAATGGTCTCAACAAAACATTGGTAATAAGAAATGTTTATTGAGCTACAAATCTGTATATTAGAATAATTTCTGAACGATCATGTGACACTGAAGACTGAGGTAATGGCTGCTGAAGATTCAGCTTTAACATCACATAAATAAATTACATTTGAACATATTTTACAATAGATAATTTTTAAACTGTAATAATATTTCCCAATATTACAGTATTTAGATTAAATAAATGCAGCCTTGGTGAGCATAATAGTTTTACTGACCTCCAAACAATAAAAATATGCTACTACTACTACTAATAGTAATAATAATAATGCATTTTAAATGTATTTTATTTTAGTCTTTTCACTAACCCTTGGATATTAAAATAGAATAAAACGCCAACAATAAAAACAACTAGTTTGTAATCAGTTCATATGGCTGTTTCTCAGACAAGCAGGTGACATTCAACATATACCCCATTTCCATACATTCTGTAAAACTTGTTTGACTCCCCACCAAAAATAGATCACAGATCTGAGAGGTGAATTTTCAACACACTGCCTTCATTTCTATTCTTGTGCATGTCAGATGCATATGAACCCGAAGCAGAAGGTTCTGGTGATGGAGTTCTGTTCAGGTGGCAGCCTGCTGAACCTGCTAGAAGAGCCCGAGAATGCGTTTGGACTTCCTGAGTCAGAGTTCCTCATTGTATTACAGTGTGTGGGTAAGAACCAACAGAGGAAATTAAGTAGTTAAATCAGTTTCCACTCCATTACTCATGCACCTGTTGGGAGGCATTACTGTGGCTAAATGGAGCTCTACACCAGTTTTGTCTTTCTCCTATTTGCTCATATACAGTCCAAGGAATGAACCACCTGCGAGAGAATGGGGTGGTGCACAGGGACATCAAACCTGGCAATATCATGAGGCAAGTGGGTGAGGATGGACACTCGGTGTACAAGCTGACGGACTTCGGTGCTGCTCGTGAGTTGGAGGACGATGAGAAGTTTGTGTCCATATATGGCACAGAGGAATATCTGGTAAGGAGGAAATGCTGTTTAATTTCTTTCATTGGTTAATGTTGAAAAAAAAACTCAAAAGGTGCCACTTTCTGTATGCAATGATTCACAGAAAATACAGCACGTGCAGTTGCTTATCAGAAATGTACACAGGCGTTTGATGTGGTTACTTTAATCTGTCTGTGAATAAACATATTATGTGATGTAGCAAATTAGCTCAAAAGGGAAATGTATATAAATAATTACAATTAATTATAATTATTTATGTAGCAGTATTAATATTACAATGACCTATTCTGTTCGTCCAGCGAATATTCAGTGTAATTTCATATCAGCTCTAAGAAATTTTATTTTCGTGGCCACAGGAAATACCTTTCTTACAGTACTAATGCATTAGAGCAGCTAGATCTGGAATTAAGTGACATTGATCTGCAAGCAGTGACAGAATCGGATAAGGGGTCTGTTGGATTATTTATTAAATATAACAAATAATAATGTGTGATTTGTCCATAATAACTTGTGTGGTTCAGCATCCGGACATGTATGAGCGTGCAGTGTTGAAGAAGCCCCAACAGAAAGCTTATGGTGTGTCTGTGGATCTGTGGAGCATCGGTGTCACCTTCTACCATGCTGCCACTGGCAGTCTTCCTTTTATACCATATGGAGGCCCACGCAGAAACAAGAAAATCATGTAAGTCTCACCTGTAAATGTTTTAATTTAACTTATTATAATCAATTATATATAAATCATAATTGTAAATTATGATTTGTGATACATTACTGTTTATATTAGGCTTATTTATGTGCTATTTTCGGTGACTTTTGGTGCTCTCCCCAGGTACAAGATCACAACAGAGAAGCCAGAGGGAGCCATAGCAGGTGTGCAGAAGGTGGAAGACGGACCCATTGAATGGAGCTACCGACTGCCACACTGCTGTCAACTTTCAGAGTGAGTTTCTCTATGCAAAAGTGTGGTTAATATCTTTGTGGACAGACAGTATTGGCAAGGAAATTGTATATGGACCTCAATCAGTACAGCTATATTTAATTGATATGCTAGAGAAAAATACCATTCATTCAATGTGTCATACTGTATCAAGGGCCATTCACACCAAGGATGATAACTATATAACTACAAAGTCTTAATAATCATTCTAATTCTATTATAGGAACTTTTTTTTTCAGCCAATGAACAATAAAAACTGCATAACTGCAGCTCATGCATATAATCAACAATGATATCTGTCAGTGTGGACACTACTATTGTTATAGCTATCGTTCTTTAAGGTCCTAAGCCATGTCTAATTTTCGGAGCCATAGCAGGTGTGCAGAAGGTGGAAGACGGACCCATTGAATGGAGCTACCGACTGCCACACTGCTGTCAACTTTCAGAGTGAGTTTCTCTATGCAAAAGTGTGGTTAATATCTTTGTGGACAGACAGTATTGGCAAGGAAATTGTATATGGACCTCAATCAGTACAGCTATATTTAATTGATATGCTAGAGAAAAATACCATTCATTCAATGTGTCATACTGTATCAAGGGCCATTCACACCAAGGATGATAACTATATAACTACAAAGTCTTAATAATCATTCTAATTCTATTATAGGAACTTTTTTTTTTCAGCCAATGAACAATAAAAACTGCATAACTGCAGCTCATGCATATAATCAACAATGTTATCTGTCAGTGTGGACACTACTATTGTTATAGCTATCGTTCTTTAAGGTCCTAAGCCATGTCTAATTTTTATGTTGGCCTTAGTTTTTTGTCTACTGGAAATTTTTAATGATGAACACCAAGATCCACAATATAACAGCTCATTGGATTGTTTTCATTCATGTCAAATTAAAAATAGGCATCTGTTGTGACTCATTTAAGTTTCATGCTTTTATTCATCATGAATAACATCCTTGAAAGAAATCCTTGATAGTTCTTTGAACGCTGAAGCCTCTTGGTAGAACATGACCAACGGCTCTGTTTTTTCGCAGGGGTTTAAAGACCCAGCTGGTCCCAGTGTTGGCCAGCATACTAGAGGCCAATCAGGAGAAGTGTTGGGGCTTCGTCCAGTTCTTTGCTGCCACCACTGACATTCTGCACTGCATCACGGTCCACATCTTCTCTCTCCAGCAAGCCACAGCACACAGCATCTACATCCACTTTCATAACACGTATGTGGGCTCCTCAAGAAGAGATTTCTAATCTAGTACTCCATGCAACTTCATTCAAATGTGGCCCAATACATTTTTAGGTTGCTGTATATGGAAATTCTGGTTCTTTTTTTAATACGGATGCCATTTGGGTGTAGGTCCCCACATGGTCATTTAAAATATGATTACCTACAATTATATATAAGTATGAATAAGGCTGAACTACTTTTCACAGTGATTCCAAAATATTTTGTTGTTGTTATCCTCAAGGGTCTCAATCTTGTTTGAGGATGTTCAGGCCCAAACTGGAATTGAACTGGCAGCTCAACAGTACCTTTTTCTGGGTCATCCTCTCATCTTGGAGCCAAGCATGAAAGTAGTGAACCTTCCCCTCACCACTCCAGACCGCCCTATCATTCTCATCAGCCGACGACCAGAGAAACTAGTAGGCCATCCATACAAAGAACGTACGGTCATAATAAATGTTTTTTTGTGTGTGTGCCTGATGTCACAATGCCAAGTTTATGAGCCATTTTATAAACCCTGAAGTCTCAAGTTTATGTTTTTCAGTGTAATTTAGTTTATGTATTTTCACAAATAAATTGGTAACATTTACAGAGGTAACTTTGTCTCTGTTTATTCTTCCGCCATCCCTTCTTTTTTTCTGTAGCTGAGGCCCCTGCGATGCCCACAAAGTTTGACGTCATGGCAGATTACACCTTCTCCAAGGTAAGCAAGCCTCTTTGTTTTTATCTCTGGTGCTTATTTTTGGTGAACATTATAACACCATTATCCCTGAGCCTCACACTGTGTCCTGTTGTTTTCGTTCCTCCTAAAGACCATTGTCGGGGTCATCCATCAGTACCTGCGGATAGCCCGCTCACTCCAGAAGTACAGGGAACTGATTCAGCAGGGGTTTTATAGCTACATGTGAGCTCTTATATAATCACTTAGAGTGATTATATTGTCACAAGAAAACCGAACCTGATCTTGACATTTTAGTGTGTCCAATAACAATATTCTTGACTTTTCAGTGAAAACACCGGTTTTGAATACAGTAATGTGGCACACAGGATTGCCATGGTGAATATGAAGCTGCTTTCTTCTATCAGCACTGAGGAGCATCTCCATCTATTGTAAGAACCCACCAGTGAGATACTGACTGAATTTGTGTTTTAGTTTACTACATGGTATCATGAATCTAATGCTTACTCTAGATTAATAAGCATTATATGTAGTAAGGTATTTAGTGATGGATGTCTCTTGATTATTCCCAACCAGTGCTCAGAGGTTTGCGCATGAGTTTCCAGACTTTGTAGACAATAAGAAAAAACTCCCACTGGTAAGAGTTGTGCTTTGTGAAATGTATATTGAATAAATGAACTAGAACACACAATAGTTTGCATCCTTGAGGTTTATCATTGTGTGTAGATTGAAGAGGATTTGCAGCGGATGTATGGCAGTGGAGTCAGAGAGTTCCAGAATCAACTAAAGCATTTGCATGTGATGCTGTCTAAACACTCCGAGACACTGGCCCAGGATAAGAGGTAACACAACCTGTTAGGATCATTTGGGGGAAAATGATACAGTTTACTATTTTCAAACGTATTCATCATTGTATTAAATCATTATCCTGGTGCCAAGGGATTTTCCTTAATTCTCTTATTTTATTTCTATTGAAAAACCTTGAAAATAAACTTAAAAACTATAGATAACATTTATCTTGCAGTGCCATAACATAGTAAAACATTTCAGCACAGCATTTGTCCAAATGTTGATTTAACTCGTTCTGTAAATTGAATTCAATAATAAACATCACATACTATCACGTATAACATAAACAAAAATGCAAGCATATGTTAATTATAAATTATTTCCAAAAAAAATATGTATGCTTCAAATGGTTGATTAAAATCAATACATTTGCATATAAATAAAATGCATTTATTAAATTTTAATCCTGTGTTAATAATTAAATAGATTTTTCTTCCTCTTAATGCAGCATCCAGAAGATGGAGGTTTTATTGGGGAAGATTGTTGCAGTACATCAGCAGTATTGCAAAGACAGAATGACAGGAAGTAATTGGATGCACGTTTTTTCTCTCATATTAATATAACACAACAAATTACAGATGAATCTACTTTGGGGGTTTGGTGAGTGGAGCCAGTGCTGAGATTAGTCAGATTAGTTCTCGGTACTGCGCTGCAGGGAAGGGAGGCACTGTTGTGCTGCCTTATCTGACAGTACGGACCATTCCAGACAGGCAAGCATGGCGACAGAAGAATATGCCTGGCTGCATTGATAATGTTAGATATGACGCTGCAGAGAAGCCAGTCAGCTAAAATAGTGCTTATCTTGAGCAGTCGCACAGAAAAAAAGGACTACAGTGTTGGGTTAAGATTTTCAAATGACTGCTCTGACTGCTATTCATTTATTCTCTTTCTGTCCCAGAGCTCAGCTACAATGACGAACAGATTCACAAGTTTGAGAAGTAAGTATTAAACCCCAGGAGCATCTTGAATGAGTGCCCGTTCTCACAGTGATTAAACTGAGAAACAACTGTTTTCTGCTCAGGCTCAATCTGTCTACATACATAAAGAAGGTCAAGAGTTTATTCAAGGATGACTGTTTGCAGAAATACCAGGATGTTCTGATGGCTGCTGTTAGCTGGAACAGGTATGACAGAGGTCACATGGACTGAGAATACACCATTAAATCACATTATGTATGGGCCCTAATGTCAAACATATTTGATACACATTTTATTACTGTCAAAGGTGTTTTGTCTAAGCAGCAAAAAAGCAGTCAAAGAACAACATATGCAGGTGGCCATGTGAGTGTTGTTTCTGCAGGGTTCTTTATAAGATGCAGGCAAGTCTAGAGCATTTTGGAGTTGTCCTCCGCCAGAGCATGGGGGATCTGCATGTGTGTGAGGCCCAGCAAAACAAGGTCAGCCCTCTTTTTTCCACAAAAGACACACACCGTCTGTCTTTAGCCCTATTCATGCGTGACAAGATGTCCCCGGGGAGGTTAGGTAAATTTAGTGTTTCAGAGACTCATTTTGTGATTTAATCCTGTCCAAAGTTGAACAAGGCAGTGTAAAAATTACACAACAACAAACATTTTGGCTTACTTTGGGCTCAATCCCAAAAAAAAGAATGCCTGTGAGGGCAGAATTAAAATTTTTGACTTTAGTTTTATAGCATGACTACAGCTAAATTTCTCATTATGCTGCATTGTGCACAGTCATTATGAATTTTAAGTAAAATTAATTTCAAGTGGAACTTGCATCACTTCCAAGTTTAAATGATAATTATTCAAATCAATAAGAACTTGCCTTATCATGGCTGTTCAGCCCTTTTCAGGCATAACTAGTTATCCCTGAGGAGGTTAGAGAAATGTTGTTTCACAGACTAGTGAAATTTTCTCTGTTTTTCCTCACGCAGCCTCTGTTAAAATTGCACAATAAATTAGTTTGTTGACCAACTCTGGACTCAAGCTCATCTGGAAATAATGTCTAAGGGCAGATTTGTATTTTTCACAGTGGTTATTGTTTATTTTGACCTTAGTTTTGACTTTAACTACTGCTACATTTCATTATGAATTTATGAGGTTTTTTTTGTGTGCAAACTCTCTGGGTAAATATCTCAGTTCAGAATTAATTCATAAGTAAGGAGAGTCTAATCATCAGGTATATCAGGTATGATCCTCTCCTTAATTCCTGCTCATAATTCACATATCTTTCTGCCTAAACCTAACAAACTATTCTGAAATCAGACATTTATACAGTTCCTGATCCACGAAAAGCTTGGATACAGTATGGAGCATCCTGAGTCCTGACCACGTTCTTCTCCATCTTTGCAGGTTCTGGACAGAGCTGTGCTTAGAGCTCTCCAGCAGTCTGTAGGAGCTGAGGGGGTGGATGGACAGAAAAAAGACGATGAGCACATGATTCTCAAGTATGTCATTGCATTGAAGATAACACAGCATTTATCAGTTCCAAATAATTAAAAAAAACTGTTTCCAGAATGAACAGATTAAAGGATGAGATGGAGGCTGTGGCACGGGAGCTACAGAATAACAACAACATGATAGAAAGGTACTGTATAGTGTTTAGCTGTGAATGTTTTTGTGTACAGCTAATGTTTTTGTGTGGAAAATCCTTTCAAATTTAACAAGGCATCTTCTTTTTAAGCCTTGCGGTAGTTACCGCTACACTGCCATTGGAGAAAAAAGTACCTCAAGCCAACAGACCATGAAGACCTCAAAGAATGCACAGCAATATTTATATTTACCGAGCCTGAATCTGTGAGCTAAAGGGAAAGCAAAAGATAACATCTAAAAAAATGTCCTTGGTTGAACCTCTTAAACCATAAAGAACAGATTAATGACTTAATGGCTGTTACCAGGGCAGGCAACTGAAATTACATGATGTGTACTGATGTGCAAAGCACAAATTGAGTTATGACTGGTCTCGAGTCCCTGAACTGTCCTATGACAGATTAAAGGAAAACAGGAGTGTTTACAACTGCACTTTGATTTGATAGGAATCACAAAAGTCATATTTCTCAGATTCAGTGTTCATGTAGTTACTGCATTTTATCTTCATGCAATCTAGTAGTATTGACTTTAACAGCCAAGAAAATAGAAATATAGATCTGTTGTAACTACTACAGCAGTTTTCATGAGACTTAAATATTGATAGCACAGTGCATTCAGCGGACAATAATGGTGTAATTATTGCACAGTCATGGGATGGAGGGAGAAGAGTTCAGTCTGCTTTGTAATTGATTCCGTTTTTGAGAGATAACTGTGCAATTGCACTAATTTAATTAGTCTATTGATCACAACAGAGTATCACACAGCATGGAGCTCTAGAGGAGGCTTTGTTTATTTGACAATGTTCACCTGACCTTTGAAAAATGTGTGAACTGTACAAATGACTCCAAATATTATCATCCTGCAAATACTGACAAGTCAATAGACTTATACCTTGCTGTGTTACAGATCATTACAATATGGAAAGTGAATGATGTGTTTGGTGGGTTCTGGTGGCACATTACAGAGTGAGAGTTAAGGGGAATTCCTCTTCCTGGGGGAACTATGGTGACCTTACAGAGACCACGCTTTGTTTCAATGTCAAAGCTTGCATATGTTTGACTTAAAATTGAATTTGATCAACTGTCCTTTTGCCAGTTTGTAAACTTGCGTGTTAAATGTTTTGTATTTTTTTAACATCTTCACTTCTGTATTGTGAGGTAAGAGGTACCCTTTAAATGTAAAGTGATACTTGACAGTCTAATAAATATATGAACACAATTGGTGAAAATATTTTTTTTATTTAAAAAAAAATATATATATATATTTTAATGTATTTATGTATATTTCAGATGTTAATAGATAATATAGATAATGAGGCATAAATAGTTATAAAAATGCACAATAATGCAAATAACATATTTGAAATGTGCAGGGGCATGTTTACGTTATGGGGGCCCTAAGCAAATCTCCAGGAGGGGGCCCCGCGATCGCGATCCGGGTGTGACTATTCATCTAAACAAAATAAATGTAAAAAAAATTATAATAATTAAAATAAGAGTTGTATATAAGATTCGTATAAACAGTGACAACAACGTTTATTCATTGCACCTTTAAAATTCTCTATTTCTCATATTTAGTTGGAATAACAGAAGTGATCGACAAAATCATGAGTTTGTGAGGGCAGCCTTGGCATTTTTAAAATTCTCTTCTAATGTTTAGTGGAATAACAGAAGTGAGCGACAATCATTGCTTTGTGAGGGGCAGGTTCGCGCAGCCAGTGCCATTTAAAGCGCGCAGCTGATGCAGTGTGCGCGTCACACTCTCGCCGCTGGCGCTTCAATTTAGTTTATATTCTGCCCACCTACAACTCTTAGCCGAAATGGCGTCCGTCACTTTAGGACAGCACCCTGCTCAACACCACCTCGACTCGGATCAGCAACTATTCCACAAACTGAAGTCGAGCGACAGGAAGAAATTCACGCGTAAATGGTCTCTGGACAAGATCATCACGCGAAACGGAGCGAGTGATATGGACAGCGGGAGAGCCGCAGTCTCAGCATCGCTCGCGTTATTCAATCACGATCCGTCTTCAGCATCACACAGCCGTGGCGGCTCGCCACGTAGTAATATGGACGGACCTGTTGTGGACATGGACCGAGAAAACGCGAACAATTATAACGGGATATTTCGCAGACACAGTGCCGGGAGCCGGAGAAGCTCGGTGAAGGACACGGCAAAGATCCATGCGTCTTCATCCCCACAAGAAGTTCGCAATGCCTCGGCGCGGTCAAACTTCAGCTGCCCGACAGACGAGCTGGAAGGACTGGCGATCGACAAGCTGACACAGGCAAGGTCGGGAGTAGTGAAGATGCGAAGCGAGCCTCTCAGGAGGGAGGCATGGTCCATCTTCAACCAGAGAGACCCCAGGGTGAAGGCAGAGAAGGGAGAGGGCCACATCTTCATCTCCAGACGGCTGAGCCAAGACTGGTGCGACGCGTGCAACCGCCAGATCAGCAGCGCTGCGCTAAAGTGTCAAAGTAAGTGACCGCTATCTCTCCTCTCCTCACCTGACCTTAGATAAACTGAGGGATGGATGGATGAATGAATGAATGTTGGTTGAACGGAAAGGTGCATGTAATGACGGATAGATGAACAGGCGGAAGATTAGGGAAGTCTGAGGGAAGCATGGATAGATAGAAAGAAGGTTGGATGAATGCAGAATGGATGGATGAATTGGACTGATGGAAACAAATGAAGGGCAAAGATAGATAGATAGATAGGGTTGGATGGATGGATTTATGAATAGGTGAATAGTTGGAGGAAGGGAGTGCAACAGATAGACATATCTATAGATAGATAGATGAGAACAGATGGAGGAATAGATAGATGGATGTAGGGTGGATGGATGCATTAACAAATGATTGGCAGGGTAGAAAGATAAAGGTAGATTTTGGATTTAATAATGGATGGACAAATGGATGCAGGATTAAATGGGTGCATATTAGAAGGGTTAGAGGAATGATAGATAGATGGATGAATTGATGGATGGACAAATGGATTGAGAGTTAGATGGACGGAGGGATGGATGGATGAATTAATAGATGAATGTAGGGGGATGCATGGATGAGTGGTCCGAGGATAAACAGATAGTTGGACGGATGGATGGATGGATAAATAATGAACAGATGAATAGATAGGTGGATAGATTGAAATATAGTTGAATGGATCGATGAACAGATACAGATGAATAAATGGTTGGATGGATGGACTTAAAGGTAGATAGATAAATCGTTATGTTCATTCGTTGTATGTTTTTAGCATACGTAAAAGAAACTTAAAGGCTTGATAAGTGTTTAAATTGTGAGGAAGAGGAAAAAATATCTAATGCAAAAATCTCTTCAAAAAACTGTTCAGCATTCAAAACCATGAGATGACTAGAAAAGAAAGAAAAAGGAGTTGATAGAAAAGAGATACATTGAGGAATGTCCATATACGTATGTGTTTATAAAGCACACAAGTGTTCGTTTTGCTAGCATTTCTGCCGAAGGGGTTGTTTGAACGGCACCAGTGTTAAAGGAACTTCCAGCAGTGTATGTTTAATCAAGATTGATGGATGGACAAATGGATTGAGAGTTAGATGGATGGATGGATGGATGGATGAATTAATAGATGAATGTAGGGGGATGCATGGATGAGTGGTCCGAGGATAAACAGATAGTTGGACGGATGGATGGATGGATAAATAATGAACAGATGAATAGATAGGTGGATATATTGAAATATAGTTGAATGGATCGATGAACAGATACAGATGAATAAATGGTTGGATGGATGGACTTAAAGGTAGATAGATAAATCGTTATGTTCATTCGTTGTAAGTTTTTAGCATACGTAAAAGGAACTTAAAGGCTTGATAAGTGTTTAAATTGTTTAATCAAGATGAAGCATGCTGATGCATGTGGAGGATGAGGGGGAAGTTCCCTGCAGAGGTCATTGTTTGTTTTTCTGTTTCGTTATTTGTCATATTTGATTAGTTGTATGAAGGGGAAGGGGGATATGGTATGGATGACCCCCTCCAGATCCCTGGGGCTTCCTAAATGAAGTACTGTCAACCACAGAGGTCTCTGATTGTCTGGAGATAGGAACGAGAAACATTTGAAGCATGTGAGTGAGGTACACTTGCCTTTTAAATAAATAAAGTAAGAATCTGAAGTGGGATCCAGTTACCCTGTTTGAATCATTTTGGATTTTTCTTAATGGTTTAGAGGTACTTGCTTCCTCTCTTTGCATGCTTTGCCTCTGCTCTGGTATTGCTGTTGTACCTTTGTTGCTGCACTCCACTGTCCCATTATGCATTTCAGCTAATTCACTTGCTTTTAAAGGACTGCTATAACAAAACCCTCTGTTATAAATAAATCTTCCTTGGACAGGTTTGTAAAAGAGAACCAAAATCAATATACTATCAATTCATACAGTACTAGAATGTCCTATACCGTGATCTGAAATGAACGAGTTTACAATGCACCATGAGAACATAAAGTTCAGCCTGTGTTTAGTTTTGTGTGTGTGCACATGGTGCATCTGTTTGCTCGTGCATGTGTGTGCATGTGTAAAGTGTTGCTGAGTTAGCAGTGTGTCAGCAGTTCTCTTTTGGAAACGGTACTGCAGTGAACGGCTTCATAAGGGACAGACAGTGAAATTGCAAGGGTTTATGGAGTGTGTAATTTAGAAGTTGGGGATGATTCTAGGATTATACATTAACCCCAATGACTGTCTGCCCTTCCAGTGCAGTGAAAAGTCAAATTTCTTTATTATTTTTCTTTATAAATAGTCCTTTTAAAGGCATAGGTCACCTAAAAATAAAAATAAATGCCTTTCTTTCTAGTATTTTTTGACCATACAATAAAAGCCAGTGGGTCCATTGTATCGATTAAGTTGAAACATTCTTCAAAATACCTTCTTTTGCATAAGAAAGTCACACAGGTTTGGAACAACATGAGGGTGTGTAAATGATAACAGAATTGTACTTAATGGAACAGTATAGCCAGTCAAGCAGAATGTTGTATCTCTCCCATACTGAGCCTTGAAAAGTGTGTTTGCAGAAGCTCCTTATCACATTTCATAGAGTTCCACTATTTTCATTGAAACCACATGAGTTTTAAACACTTGTTCCTCATTCTCCTCAACCTTTATTGTAAATGCCAGGGTGGGGTGTAATTTTTCCTGGTAGATTTGTTGTGGTTTGTCAGTAAGAATCAGAATGGGATACACTGGGGTTTTCCAAATTCTAAATTTGGCCATTTTCAGTTCATGGGGGTTTTGTGTTGCATTCCAAGAGCATGTCCTGATATGCCTCAACCATAAGCATTGGTTTCTTTTCTCTAGTATGTTGAGATGCCCCTAGCAGAGTTATTGCACATGACCAGAAGTCACTCATGGGTAAAGCACAACATTGTAGTTTGTAATTGTTGCTTTTTTTATTTAGAAGTGTCTTGGAGCATGCTGGGAAATGGGGTATTTAAGAGGTTGCGGTGGTGCAGGCAGGCTAAAGATGGAGCGTCTTGACTACTACAGATCAACATTTTAGTGCACACAGCCCCGTAATTATACACACTGAATGAAAGAGGCAGTCAGAGAACATCAGTGGTTACGTTCGCCTATAAACAGTTCCTTTGAGCTCTTACTCTCTCCCAAAGGAAAGAAAAATCACAAATGAGGTCTCTTTAAAAAATCTATTGTTTCTCTTAGATAACAATACAATGCATAAGAGAACAAATGGAGACTTTTGCTAAAGTCACCTGATTCTCAGATGATTTTCTTGATGAAAAAAAGGAATATATAGTGTTCTTCAGAAGAAAGAAAGTCATTATTGGATAAACTATCCCTTAGTCTCTGAATAGTTTCAGAGTCTTGCACTTCACTCATTCACCAAGAAACCAAAATACAAAAATTTACAATAAGAAATTACATTTAAATATGACTTCTAACATTTCTCATCAGATTTTTCCTAGATTATTTGATCTGTGGTATTCAGTACACATTATTGTTTATAATTATTTATATATATACACTATAAAAAGCAGTAACAATTGTTGCTTTAAAAGGGAGCTATTTCTAACAGATCTTACATTTACATTTTGTTTTGTTGGTGTAACTTTTTTTTTTAAGTTAAATGCATGTTGTTAAATAATTTTGGACCAATCTGCATACCTTTTTTTTGGAATAGAATCACTTAATTTAGATGTTACCACATTTTTGTGCATTTTTTCCCTCCCAAGTATATCCAATACTCCCATTTAAAATTCAAGGAATTTTTATGAGAAATATATCTGAAATCTCTATGAAATCTCCTGAGCGATATATCTATATATATATATTCTATATACTGTATATATAGAATATCCTTTGAACAATAAAATGTCCCTCTAAGGCAGCTCTTTCTTGCGCAGCCAACATACACTGTGAAAACCTGAAACCTCACATTAGTCTTCGATTGCACAAATGCATGGCTAAACAGATTGTGAAAGGCATGCTCCATTGTGTTTAGTACTACCATTATAAAGTTCTGTTTCTGAATTATATTATATGACGGATATGTGTTAGGCTGAGTCACTGTAGGTTTAAACAAGGTCTCAAGGTTTAGTCAAGGAGAATGAGTGAGTTCTCCTCAGGTAGCCTCCACCTCCCTGCTAGTGTGACTCAGAGTTACTGAGTGTCTTAAAAAGCGTCCCTCACTGCATGGGCCTGTCTCAAAGCATCAGTCTTACCTGCTCTCTCCCTCTCCTTCAGTCTGGCTTTATTTGTCTAATCTGGCTGAGTTTTTGGCAACCTCCCCCACCCAATTCAGCACATATCCGTCTGCAATGGAGAATGCTGCCTATCTGCCTTTGAGTTTAATCCATGCTGGAGTAAAACTGCTTTTAGCCATAATGCAGATGGATTATAGCTTATGGATGCCAGTCAGACATCGGATTGATTTTTAATTAAAAGTTTCAGACACACAGCAATACTAGAAAGAGGAATGTTTTCTTTTTGGCCTCGACGAGGTAAAGGGATGCTGCTGGGTAGATGTAATGTGTTGTTTACTTTCTGACCTTTGGAAGCTCTGCATCCACCTATAAACATTAAAAAAGTTCTTAAATATTAGCATTTATACTTCAACTTATTTTGAGAGAAATATGAGATGTCTGCGTTATAATTGAATATAACTGAAATGGAAACATGTATAGCTTTTACATCCCATTACCATTCATTTCTCTTTTACTTTTTTTTCAGTTGAACAAGATATGAAAACTTGTAAATCAAGTTTCCCCAATTCTCAATTTTGCAAACTAAATCAAACCCCTGGCACAAGTTTGATTGGGTGCACCACAAAAACCCTTTGAAAACGTGTTATTCATGTTGTAGATGTTTTAGTGGTTACTTGTTGAAACACACGGTTAAACAGCAGAAGCTTTGTCTACTTTCTCAATACAACATTCACCTCAAGCGACAGATGGACTGGGCCTGTTAAATCATCACTTCCTGTTTGAGTACT